GGAGTCCAGTAATACTGAGGGAAAATTCGCTGGCAAATCATCTCTTTGCAACACTGCATTATTCATTGAAGACAACATGCTCAGCACAGGAGCAAACAATTGAACTATTAATTCCACTTTCAGCAGTTCTACACCATTGTAGCAATTTTCTGATGGTAACTGGCAGCTTCTCAACAGCACATCAAAAATCAGATAACGGAAACTAAATCGAGCATATGAGAGAATTGGAAGAAGACTGAAGCATAGCCCTTTTCTAAATAGAATGGAGGGTCAATTTTAAATTGCTGTGGTAATGTTAGCAAACATGTATCAGTTATTTATTGCAAATGAGGCAAGCAGCTTCCCCTAATGCAAAAATTTTAATTTGTAGACACATGCATATGCTTGGAGCAGACTTATTTTTGAAGTAAGAAGCATCCTACAATTAAGTCACCTAACATCTAATAAAAAAAGAACAAATAAAAAACCCCATCCCTGAGTATATATATGAACAAACATGTTCAGTCATCATTAAACATTCTAAGTTTAAAAATCCCATCTGAAAGAAACATTCAAAGTTATAATACATATTTAGAATCAAATAAAATAGTCATTCTTACCTCAGTAAGAGTGCAAAGCTTTTTGAGGCTTATAAAAGCAATGGGTAACTTCAAAAGGGGTTTTTTTTAAGCGATCAGCTTTAATACAGTTGTATTTTCAGCCATTTGATGGGTTGAAAACAGGTCATAGATTAGGGTTCAAGTAGCACAGCCACAACCTCCAGACATTCATGTTCAGCTGCACACCACTACCAGTCCCATCACACAGGGTCACTCTGGTAATAAACCCCAACACTGTTTGCAAAACTTGCAGACTGTAGACTGCTCATGTACAAATAAAACTATCAGCTCTTTTAAGAAATTAATATAAGTGCAGGGAAATCTAACTTTCCCCAGTTTGGCCAAATGTTTTCTATACTGCATTTCTGAATAGATGTGTTCCATATGAGTTTGCCTTGAGCTGGGACCAACCTGTGATCTGCTATAGCACTCATGGAAGCAAATGGCTGCCAATAACTACTCTGATGGAAAAAAAAAAATTAAATGAGCTTCCTGCATACCTATTACAGAAAAAAGAACATCCTAAATATGAATACATTGGCCTATAAAACTCAGTCTAACCCACCATCTATCACCCCTCGTCCAATGATTGTGTAGCAGTATATCTGTAAAGCACACATGTAGTGTTAGGTTAGTGTAAGTTTAAAGCTGTAACAGTACAATATAAACAAGAAAATGTTTATTCATTTGCTAAATGTACTGTGGAGTAACTTGAGGAATCCTCTTTAAAGTACACATCTGCTCACCTAGCAGTAGTCTAAGCACATTGGAAGCCAAGAACTTTTGATTGTCAGGAGTCTTTATGCTCCGGCACTGAATTGCAAAGGACATTTTTGTCTGCATTACACTTACTATGATTTAAAGACAGTGAATACATCCTGAGTACCAGACATTTTCTGGGCACTATGACAGAACGCAAAAGTTTAAAGAAAGAAAGCATTACAAGCTTTACTTTTTCCCCACAATCACCAGAAGTTTTAGCTTTCTATCTCTCTCTTGGTTTTACCACTGGTTCCATAATAAAATTTAGGTCTCCATCTAAATCATCTGAAGCTTTTAACTTTTTGCTCCAAATCATTAGCTCAAATCTGAGACCAATACTGGGCTGTTGCACTAACAGCAATCTTAATTTCACATAAGATTCATTAAGTCTCTTACCTGTCCCCACTCAAATCCATGTTTTAGGGACACTCACACTCTTCCCTTAGTCTACTTGACACAATTATCTCTATTTCTCGTTTACCAGCAACTTCTACATCCTGTGCTGCAATCCTGGGCATTTTGACTTGTTAACACTTCTCACCTATAAATACTTGAGATTAATTTGAAAATTATTATTTCAAATACAGTTTTAGTGTGCTTTCTGAAGTGAGCAATGAAGTACTCCATCACCACAGATAAATTATCACTGTCGAGTCTAAGTTCCAGCCAACTAAGCCAATTCTCATTCCTCTGCAGCGGCAGGGTTTCAGCTCACCTACCTCATGTTTCTCCACACCATTTTGTCAGATACTCCCAAATTCAAGCCTACACTTCCAAGTGGTTTTTTTTTTTTAAACACTTCCTACCAAATTCCCTCATTTTCTCAAGGCACTTCCACAATCCCTTCAACGCCTACTTCCAGCACTTCTATACATTGTTGCGTGTTGCTTCCCACGCCGCCCTCAGCGTCCCCGCAGCCCCGTCCCCTCAGAGCCAGCCGTGAGGGCCGGCCGCTCCTGCCCCTACCCAGCAGGATGGCGGCGAACCCCCCGCCGCAGCAAGCACAGCCGCTGAGGAAAATGCTGCACGGGCCAGGTCACGCTGGCTCCTTCAGACAGTCGGAAGGCACAAGCACAACCCCTCAGGGCGGCTGCAGCCCCCAGCCCCACACGGCCGGCGGGGAGAGGAGGGGAGGGGAGAGGCGGCGGCCGCGCCGCCCGGCCCTGAGGGGAGCGGAGCAGCCGAGGGCGGCCGGCGCCGGTCCCACGCTCCCAGCGGGGGCTCGGCGCTGTCCGCTGCACAGCCGGAGCTGGACTCCACAACCCTCGGGATATTCTGTGACTCGCTGACCTCTGGAGTCAGTAACAGCACAAACCCCCAGCGACCAGGAAGCTCCAGAGCCATCACAACTAGTGATGACAGCTTTGCTTTCCCAAAACAAATTCTATACACGTATTTTAAACATACATTATGAAATAAATGTGGATCTAATTTAAGCTACATTCTTTCCCTCCTAGAATTAATGATTTCATTTAAGGCACAGGGAAGCTGACCAAACCCCACACAACAGCAGGGTCTGGTGCAGGATGAGTTGTGTCAGTCCCTGCTCAGGACAGCACTGGCCCTCACCTCTGACACTCATCCACCCAAATTTAGTGTCAAAAATATTACAGCCCCATCCAGCAGCTCAGTAACTTACCCAGGTGTCACTTGGTAAAATCAAACACACATAAAGACTAGGGCATGCAGGAACCCCGGTTTTTTAGGTGTTATTAATTACTGATAGAGATCAGTAACACCCAGCTTCTCAAAATGACAGCTGAGAGGAAGCGCGTAGAGGTAGAGCTGTTAACCTTTGTAGTGTAGAGAAGAATGTATGTAGCCTACTCTGAAGATTAAGGGATTGTACTGTAATGTAATTAAGACTTATATTTTCCCTGCAGGTATGTAAACATTGCTGTTCAAGAGTAAAGAAGATTCTAATGGCCTCAGGGTACAGACTCCAGGTGGATTCTCTTCCACACTGCGGCCCTCCCTGTCTCTTAAGCAGCTAATTGCTTGCCCCTTAACCTGTACTTCTGACTATCCCCTTAAATGCTTCTGGTACCCTTCTGTCATCATGACTGAAGCTCTGTCCTCAATCAGGCCATGCCAGTTCTTTAGGATATACAGTTAATAACTCACTCCAACATTTGGATATAACACCATGTGATTTACCTGAATCACCTCAACGAGAGATGAAGGCTCCATTCGACTGTTACCAGGTTGTTGTACATATTCTGAGGACTACATTTAAAATTGGTTTGGATACTCAAGATGAAAGAGATTTAAGTATTTAGTTCCAAGGTCGTGAGTCTTACGGAAGAGAAGTCTACGGATTCTGGAGAGCAGAAGAGTTCAGTTACTAATTTTCTCTTGCATCACTAACAGCAAATCTTCTTTCCCACATTTTAGTGTGAGAATGTGATGATAGAGCTGATATTAAACAATTTAATTATAGTACTTCTGGGAGTATTCTAAGGTTAGAAATGCAACATTTAACATCTTGAAATTATTTTTTCCCTTTGCAATGCAAGTTCACAATCATTTAAAAACCCATTAATTTTGACATACCTTCAAACAGGTTATTCCATGTTTAATGGACAGTGGTTCCCACTCTAGTGTAACTATAATATAATGAAGCCTTCTTAATATTCCACTCTTCCACAAAAATGGTTCTGAATTTGCTGATTTGTAGAATTATTTTGTTTTCACCCCTCCAAGGGAAACACATAGAAATTTAAATCTTATGACAATAGGCTTGCTTGTCTTGGTTACAGTTCACAAATATCTTGAAAATAGTCCATGGAACAAAAAGGTCTGCTCAAGAGGATGACAATAAATTGTTATATTAGGAAGAAGGAAAACAAAGATTTCACTCAAACCATTTCAGACGCTAATAAATAAAAACAAACCAGTTCCTAAGAAAATGTCTTTAATTTTCATGTTATGGAAATACATATTTTGGCTTTATTTCCATGATACAAAAATTTAAATATCAAACATTTTCTGAAATCTACCAATGCAGATCCTTTTTTAAACAAATAAAGGGCTGGTGCAGTTAGCAGGTTTATCACAGGTACCAAAAAACATTTTTTACAGAATCAGGATTTAAAAGTGGGAACAACAGATGTGAAAACAAAGAAAAACTACCTCCCACCAGGAAATTAATGTTTGAGAAACTTTTACAGTTTTTTGAAAGGGTAAGTTATGTATAAGGCTGGTATTTAGATGAATACCACCTGCACTGGGGTGGGTGTAGAGAACAGCAATTCAAAAAATGTTCCCAGATAAAGTAACAGGTAGAAAGCAGTAAGTAAAACTGCAGTTCTACCTGTTTCCAGAATGCTGACAGCATACTGAAGCTGCCTGAATAAACAGTTAAATACTAGGAGAGCTGTGGTAACTCCCTAAGCGAAGGAAACAGCCTAGCACAAAATCACAGAGTGCCAGTTTCTTGTACAGTTCATAGCCAGCATGCCAAGGAGGTGACCAAAGGACATTGAGTCTTGCTTCTTAACCTAACATCAGTTACAACAGCAAGGATTTCACAGGATCAACAACAAGTCATATAATAGGTGATGTACACACGAGTGAAAAATGACAGCGATTGTTCAAGAAACAGTTTAAAATAATTAAACTGATTTTCAGGACACATACTGCATTGTTAACACCACTTTATTTAAATAAAGTATGGCTTCCAAGAGGTGTATTCTCTCAACTGTTTTCAATAAATTCCACTTTTTAAGGCAGTTGTTTCCTACCATGTTTCAGGGACCTCAAAAATTCCAGTGGAACTAGTTGTGAGGTTTCCTAGAAGATAGAATAATGGAATAAAAATTACATTAAGATTTTTTTTGTTGTTGTTCTTTCAGAGAATATTAAGACATATTTTTCTATAGAGGGAGGCTCTAGACACAGAAAAAATAAAGGTTAATTTCAGGTTTCTTACATATATGGTAAATAATGTATTTTTAACCCTAATAATTAGGTAATTTTCGTTTTGCAATTACTGGGATGATAAAGTTAAATACTATTTTCCCAAGTGTACTTGGCATTATTTTTATTTAGGCTGTTAAGACAGGGAAGAATATTTCCATCCCAAATTAATTGGAGAATAAAGATGAATCATTAATACTGATAACACATATTCCCATAATGCCAAATACAGAGCCTGAATGCTATACTCGGAATTGCCACAGACACTCTTGTCATTTTGCATATGCTTACAGGCTCCAACTGCCCTACTGAATACAAAGAAGAAAAAATTTCCAAGCACAGCTTTTGAATCAGCTAAGAAAGATTTTACTCTACCATGTCAGGAGAAAGGATGTCTGGTATACAATACTACTTTCTGGATAAAAGCTGCTAGTGCAGTTATTGAAACAAAGTTTTAATTATGAATATTTGAATATACTTCAATGCAGGCAGTGCTCCAGATGACTAATACAGTATGGTCATCTGGACCAAATTAAAATATTATTTAATTTTTATTATAGTCCAGTTTCTTCAAGAAATTACTAATAAACAGTGAAATAGAAGCAACAAAAAATAGATCAATCAAATTAAAATTTTTTGATGTTTAAATTCATGTGATCTATGGATAGGTATTTACTTTTTTTGTACAAGCTGCAGTAAGTCACAAAACAGCAAAAATTATAAGGTGAAACATCATCATCTGATTGTAACCTGCCTGCATTTAGTCAGATGTTCAGTTCAAAGTATTTTGGCTAAAAAATATATAGGTAGTAAAATCTGAAAACACCCACCTTCACACCAACCCTAGGTGAAAAGTCTTCAGCCAAATAAAGCCCAATAAATGTTATGGTTACAAACATCATGCAGAACATTGAATGTATTAATGCATACATCAAAACAGAGTGCCTTCAATTTTGCTTACAATACGCAAAACACATTGAATAACATTAACTACAAAGTCACATTAAAAAAAATTAAAATACCTTAAAAATATTCAAAAAGCTTTATTTTAAGGAAGAAATTAAGCAAAAGTAATAAATCAACTACATTCTAATTCCTTTGGTTGGTGTCAGATTGGGTTTTGGTTGGTTATGAGTTTTTTGGTTTGGGCTGAGATCTTTTCTTTTTGATGTTGTTTTGGGTTTGTTTGTTGAGTTCTTTTACAACTTTTATATGATTTTTTTATATGACATGTTCAGTTTCAAGTAGAACTTGGAATGTAATGAAGTTACTGCTAGAAGCAACGACTTTCAGGAAAAGAATTTCAGTTCTGTTCAGGCCTAGAACATTTCCAAACAGAAAAAGTAAACCATGGGCATGAACATGGTTCCAGCACTTACCTGCTGGAACTTGTTCTGTCTTGATCTTTTTCAACTTTTTTGCTCTCTTCTTACCATCTGGAAAGGATTCTGCACAGGAGTCTGCCTGATCATTTTCTGGATCTTGGCCTTCTGCCTCTTCCATATCATCAGAAACAGTTTCTTCCTCAATAGGACTCATGCTTCTCTTTCCCACTGTACTGGTACCTGTAAAACTGGAACATAGAAGAAAGATGATTATGAAAAAGTCAAGAGTAACTATTAAAAAGTTTGTACGTCTATTAAATGCTTCTGAAGGTAGAAGAATAAACTGTTCTAAGTGGTGCACCATGAAATTACATTATCTGAAAGATTTGGCTTAACTATAAAATTCTATAAATTTGCTATCTAATCCAATCTTATGTAGACCAAGGCATTCATTTTTTGTACTACTGATGTCTCAGACCTAGCTGCTATTCTGATGAGATCACTCATCTGAAATGTAATTAAATCAGTTCTCTATCTTTGCACAGTTTTACATTTTATTCTCATAGTTATGCAAGCTCTTTAAAGCACTGTCAACAGACAGTGCACAACTAAGCCTCAAAACCACATCTTGAAATGGAAGGAGTCTCTAACTTGCATGCTAGCTTCACCTTTCTCGTGCAACTACAGGTAGTTTTAAAAGCATTTATACATAAAGGTAGAGAAAACCATCAAGCTCCATATATAAACTTTAAATCTGGCTTTCAAGTGCAGAGTCCTGTTATTCATGGGGCCAGTAAAATAAAGAGCAGAAAACATTGCATGCTCATTTCATTAGCAGCATTTGAATGAAGTCTGACTAACACAGTATAAAGATTAACTCAGAGCTCCACGCCATTCAGCACACACTGAAATAACCTTTTGTGGGCTTTTGTTCCACTGAAATGCTATTGTTAAATTTCCTTAAAAGACAAATGACAATATTAAAATTAAATTAGCATGAGTAAAAAACAGAATGAGGTAGCAAAGGGGCTAATTAAAAAACAGTTCCCATTATGAACTTCTAGATATGTAAACACCAGCTACTTAAATGTCTAATATAATGCTTTTAGAACAACCAATTTTAAAAAGGGTAGTTTTAGATTTATGAACTTTTATTTTTTAATTAGAACTACACAACATGTTGTATGCATCTAAGCCATGTTCTATTCTGTGAGTTAAATAAATATTAATACTAAGTTATAAAGCAAAGCCTTACAAGATTTTTTTTTCTTTTTAATCAATAGCAGTGAATTAGTGTTTCAATAAGGTTTCAGCTAAAGGAAGAATTGTTAAATTTTGCACTATAGTTTTGGCTTTGAAATGTAATTTTTTCAGCTGAACATTTTGCAACTTAAAACAGAGTCTGTCTGGGATGTCCAAAGGCAATAAACAAAGATGAAACATATGATTACATCTCATGCTCTTACATCCACTTTAGGAGCACAAACACCATTTACTTTGATGAATAGCTGGTTTTTCCTCCAAACATTCACACACAGAAGGCCTTCTTGCATGATTTCTTACAAATCATCATTTTGAGTCATACCACAACCACTACCAATAAAAAGATGGATAGAACTGTTAATCTTGTGTACACATTCAGGATTGCAAAGCAGGCAAAAACTAGGGTTGGAAAGAAAAAAAAGTCTAGGGAAGAAAGAGCTTTTAGGAAATGAAAAACTAGTATTTTTTAAAAATATAGTTTAGAAAATCTTGTAAGAACTCTACTCTGGGGAAAGCTATTCTGAAAAATAGATTAGGAAGAAAAAACTCAGGAACCATAAATTATGAACCCAGGATATCTTTAGCACTTGGCTCTCAAAAGGGAACTTGCACTCACTGTAGGAAGAAGATCCTTTCTTGAATGGTATTATGGCTGAATTTAATTTTTCCAACTTAAGACTACTATGAAGTTATTGCAAATAAAGAGAAACAAGTTCTTGACCTTCAATGCACATTTAGCTAGGAACCAAAAAACAACATAAAAATTAATTTTAGGCCTTATGGTCCTTGTGCAGATACCTTACGGGGAAAAAAAAAGCCCACCACCAAAAAGTGGCAGCACAAAATAAACATATTTTACAATGAAGAACCATTGTCTTCTTTTCTCCCAAATATTTTCTATTCATTCATTGCATGGCTTCTAGAGGGGAAAGGGTTAATTTTTTTTTTTTTACATCTTGTTCTTCTTTAACCTTAAATAAGATTAAAGATTACAGCAACATTATTTATGCACTTAGGAAATGAGTATGGTTCCATATATGAGTTAGAGCACTACTCAAAGTTCACTTTTCTAATTATAACTGTTATTTTGGATGTGTCCACATATCTGCCTCAACTTCCTCATTCAGCTGAGAAACAACTGAACAGAGTTAAATATTCAAACACTGTAACAGCTTTCAGTCAGTGCCCAATGCAGACAGACTTCTTTTATGATCCTTATGACCATTTACAGACTCAGATTTACACCATCCTCTAACCACGTAACACTTAGGTTTCAATACACACCTGTACAACAGCTATCCAGGCAATAACTATTTATTTTCTAGAGAATATATTTCAAGACATACTAAATAGCAGTAATCCAACTAGTACTGTGATAATCAAATTGAAAGAATCAGCAAGTAGAGGGGAGCAAAAGGTAGGAAAACAATTATGATAATGTAGCATTTAACATTTTCTGTTTTGGAAAAGCATGTCTGAGTTTTCAAAGAAACACTTCATCACAGCAAGGTATTTGTAACTGGCCTGTATAAATGAGGACCTACAATTTCAAATAAATTTCATTTACACAAAACTGAGTTCTCTTGACACTTGAAACAACATTGAGGGGTGGGAGTAGATACTGATCCATCATAAAAATCAGTCATTTAAGCTGAAGAGCAAATGAATTCACCTAAAATAACACTACAATGCAGGAACTCTATAATAATTTACTTGTAATATTTGTTATCTATACCCTTAATACACCAGCTTTTGCAATTCCTTTTCTTAGTGGGTAATAAACCACTATAAAGAACCATTTCTGTACTAAACCAAAAGAACCATTATCAATAAACCAAGTAGAAACACTTACACATTTCAAAAATTAGATAATCTTTAGCAAAATAAGACATTCAAGGAAGTGGTGCTACAAACAGCACCCTGACTTGACAGAAGATGCAGCACTCATAGTTTTAGGCAGAATATTGTATCCCTTTCTTGTACTTTATATGAGCCCTTACCCTATTTTACTGTTTCCAGGTGATCATCATGAGGATAATTAAGTACAAAGAGGGCAGAGAACCTAATTTTCCATAGAGCATACCCTATTTGACTTTTCCTGCTATGGTTTAACACTATTTTGCTAAGGAAAAGCTCTTAAAGCCATGCATTTAACAGTCATGGCAGAGCTGGCAGGCAGTCATTTGCTAAGCACAACATAGCCAGTTCCATCTGTTTCCTATGTGTGTTCTGAATAGCAACAGATTTGGACAAGGCGATCTTATTTACTACTTAAAGTTTTGTCAAATGCAGCAGTTTTCCCTCTACTTCTCCATCTTACATTAATAATTAGGCATATTTCCATTGGAATAAATTTTTATATTTAATGGTAATATTAAGTTATATGCAAAGGATAGATATTAATTATAATTAATTTTACCTTGTGACTGCTATTAATAGTAAAAATCTTCATTTTCTGAAGAGAAGTTCCTCTACAATACAGGACTACAGTTTTATCAAGAAGGCAAGAATTATAGAACCTTTGTTACATATTTATCAATCTGTCAAATTAAGACAAAAGTTCCTTAAAAGAAATACTCAACAACTTCCTTACTGAATGAAAAAGTAGCCAGGACACATTGTCATCATGGAGACAAACAGCTATCCTGCAGCTGTGCTCCTTGGCAGAAGCTGATGCAGCAAGCTTATTAAATAATAAATAAATAAAGGATGTAGTAACATGAAGCTATTATAAGGGATCAGCTGCTGGATACATCACAGTGCTGACTACTCAGCTAGATAGGACTTCAACTGATCTGGAAAAATATACATGCACACATACATATTTGTCCTGATTGTTTTTATAAATATTGCTATTGTATTTTATATCAAAATTATTGCATATAATAGATAAAATAGAAATATTTTATATACCTTTAGATAGAAATATTTTTATATCCCTTTGTCTGGAAAATAAAGAGTTCATCTCGAGTGAAATGAAAGACCATGGTTTGCAGGTCCATGATCTATCTAAAGAGATTACACTTCAGAAGAAGCATTTACAAAATATAAATTGACAAAATAATTAAATATAACTAGTAAGAAATAAAAATAAATTAAGAAAAACATGTCAAAAGACCTGCATGAGAGGAAATGTGGGACAGAATCCAATCACTTTATTAATGGAATAAGAGAACAAAAAATTATGTAACATCAATTATAAGAGATCTGCCAACAAAATAAAGGCTGCTATCCAATGCTATCAATATGTTGATCACATGAAAACAAAAAGCTACTTCTTGTAGAATTTCACAACACTAGATGAAAAAAGATACTTAAAATTTTCAAGGAGAGTAAGTGCTTAGACAACCAATTCACTGGGGTATGTCAAACTTTTAGGGAAAGAATTTACCAAAAATTTTGTTCAGCAATTTTCCAAACGATACATTTGTGGTGGATCTTGAATTTCTTTGCAAGACAACAGCAAATCAGCTTTCTGCACTTGCTGTTCTCCATGAGCTGCCATCGTTACCATCTGCCTAGAACCTGTAGGTACCCAAGAGAGGAGACATTTCCTCTGGCAGAAACAAAACTAGAACTTAGTGCTTCTTTGCAGCAAACTCAAAGTGTAGTAAGTATTTCCAGACTATTTAATAGTCTACCACCTTAGGCATAGAGCTAAGCCCTAGCCATGTGCACGCTGGTGCCAGGAGAATCCATAAAGCTCCTCATCCCCTCACAGCACAGACTCCCCAGGATTCCCGAGCACAACAGTTCCATTAAACTAACTTCATTTGATACGGATTGTATTATCAGCTTTCTCCATATGTTTTTTTGAATCAAACATGTCTCTAACACATATAGAATTCCCACCATGACAAAAGCCATAAACATCTGACAGCTTGCCAAAATACACACCTGCAAAATCATAAGGTCATGAGAAGAACAGAACAAGTTTAGCAAATTTGTTACACGACAGATTAACATTTACAGGAAGATATAACGAGAACTAGAACTTAATGTAGAATTTCCAAGAAAGATAAAGCAGAAATACCTTAGCACTGGTTTTATGACCACCAAATTTGGTTTGTGTAACCACAGGGCAGGGAGGAGAAGGAGGCAAAACCCTCCAAAACCAACCCAAAACATCTACTTAGAGAAATGTAGCTTACACACTCCATTCAAACTTATTTTCATATAGAATTCATAGAACTGGGGGGACAGTGCAGGAGAAGGGAGGGGGAAGAATGGCAATAACTTGATAGGTTATTTATACAATTATATTAACACCAGAACTCTCTTCACATGCTCAGCTACACAGATGAATGAGAAAGAAGCTGCCTGTTACCATCATATCCAAAACCTGTCATTACTATCAATGGATAAATATGGAACAAGAAATACACACACAACACAAGGAACATACTGTACCAGTACCGAAAGCAGCATGTCCTCACTTAATTTTGTCCTTAAATAATGAACTGAAACCCTTTTCAAATTTTATACTTAAAGCCATGCAGGTATCATCATTTTTGGAGCATAAGGAAAACTTCACCAGGACTGCTCTAGAAGAGCATTTATACCATTCTTTGTGGCACTGTTATCACCATGGAAAGTCAGCCTAAAACCAACATGGTCTTTAAATGGATATATGATGACAACTAAGTGTCCACGTGACACAAGACACTCACAAGTGCCATATGACTAAAGAAAATATTTTTGAAATTTTGGTTATAAGAAATGATGCTGCTACATCAAGCTCAGAAGCTGTGATGTGATGTGCTCTCAAGATCCCAGCATTTAAAAGTCTGTCTGATCACATCTGTGATGAAATCCCCTCTGTTCCTTTATTTATTGTCTTGTGACAGCTGATGCACCACTGCTGATTTATATGCAAAGAAATACATACAGAAAAAATGTCCTCTATTAGTTAAGAACTACCTTAAAAATTGCTAGATTTTGGATAGAAATGCAGTAAGAACACGAGTTGGCAGCGCAGACATCTCACCTGTTAACACAGTAGTATCGACTCTGGGAAATGTAAGGTGTGCACTGGGTTTTTAACCTCTTCCTCTCCATCTCCTTCCAACTATCTTCTGTACATTTTCTCTTGGCCTGTTTTTCTTCATATTTTTTCTCCACATATTCTGCATATGTCTGGATCCTATAACTTTCAGCATACCGGCTGGTGTTTACAGCTATGGAGGAGGAGAATGATATTATATACAAAACACTTAAATGACAGCATGCCCTCTACTGAAATAGCTTATTTTGAAAAGCAGAAGGCTGCAAGCTATTGGTTCTGTTCATAAAACAATTTCTAGTTCCATTGTTAGCAATTAAAAAACCAAAACAAAAACCCAAAATGCCATATTCTCTAGAAGTCACAATGTCTGAACTAGACGCTCAAAGCTCTTCTCAAAGTCAGACTTTGTGCAAAAAGAGTTAAATCTACTTAAGATATTTCTTTTAAATTAGAAACTATCAATTCTTCACTCATAACCCTCTTCCAGATTGCTTGTTGGCAAGAAAAGATTTCCTGGATTTTTTCCCTTTTAGTCTCATTACTTAACCCAGCAGGTTTATTTTGCAAGTCTGCCAGGAAAAGACGACATTTGCAAAGCCTTTGCCAAAACTCTGTTTGATTGCTGTGAAACATAAGCTTATTTGAGCTGCATTTTTGGTTGCACAACATACCCATGGACGAAGCACTTAACTAACAGCCAGCTGTTCCATCCCTGTATCTTTCTAATGTCTGATCTCCCTTTAACCAAAAAACACTTCAAGTCTAGGTGGAAAGATTTCTGTCAATGCAAAATTAGAAGCACTTTAAAACTAAAGAAAAAAACTTTCACTGCCTCCACTCAGTAACAATTTAACAACATTCCTTCAAGTCCCAGCATCTTCACAGCTCTCAGCCTTTAGTCTGTGAGCCAAGCTCTGGCCTGATGCCATCCCTGTAACAGATGAATCAGCAAATTAAACTGACTGTCAACTGGTGTCTTCTGCTTTCAGCCTAGCTCTCTGAAAGAAAGTATTGTAAACCAACTGGTAAACCAGTTTAAATGTAAACAAAACAAACAACCCTGCCCCCATCCTCAGATTGTTTTTCTGCACATTTTAAAATACTGTAATTATAGTGGAGACAAAAATCCTGATTTTATTATGTGCTTCCAATTTTTAAGAGCCATTTCAGATGCATATCCCACTTCAGGATTCTAACTGAGCTGTTTTAAATACAGGTATTCTGTGCTACTTCTGGTACAAGCACTAGAGATGGCAAGCTCCAACACCAAATTTCAGAAAAGGTGAGAAAGATGGGTAGATATGGCTTTTTTTCTCCTCTTTCAGGATGGATCATCCATTCTGTATGTTTGCTGTGTAACAGTGAAATGAGATATCTATAATACCTGCCATGGTATATAGATGCTGCTGTTGCAACATATGTAAGACCAGGCAAGATCCCAAATACAGATAGCAGCAGTTATCATTAACAGCCCCATGAGATAATTGCACTAACCAACAAGTGTCAGACATGCCTCCTTTCACCTTTCTTGTATTTGTTTTGAACTGGGAAGTTACAGGGTCTGTTTGTAAGAATTAGGACAATATTTACTGCCCATGAAGTCATGGGGCAGGCATCATGAATGAATTAATAAGGCTCACCAGATTTTACTACATGCCAGCCAGCATTCCTTGGGGTAAAATTTGTTTAGTTAAACTCAAGTATGTTTTTACTCGCTCAAATAAGCATAAAGTCACCATGGATCATCTAATACATACTCATTTGTTAAAACACAATAACATTATTTGTTTTGCTACAAGATATGAGCCAAAGTTATGGGTCTGCCATTTAATTCCCTGATAAACTCAGCCCTTTCTTAAGGAATAAAAACAAATCATTTGAGGCCTAAATATAATTCTAAAATAAATCTGTGCAAGAGTCAGTATTTTTGTACAAATTCAACTCTACTGTCCTGAAATAAGGCATGTATTTTACAGCAATCCACCCATATGGCACATACATACACAAATATCTGTATATACATACATAGCATTTATATTTAATATAAAATGTTACATGCTGAATATTTTGCTTCATCATTGAAAAAGTGAAATGAAGCCATATAGTGAAGTCTAAGGAACCACAAGATAAAACAATCTTGCATGGTCTTGAATTGAAGAGCAGCTCCTTGTAGGAGTTTAATACATTTTCTTTGATGCTTTTTTGATGGATGCTGTCCATATTGCCGAACAAAGCAAATACAGTTAGGTCATTCTGCACTCCCAACAGAAGAAATGCACTGCTAGAATGCTCCATGAATTCTAAAAAACTAAATAGAACTCAGGAGGGCTATTTACTTTAAATTGTAAGAGATGAGACATATCTTTCTGTGAGAAGCCTGACCTAGTAACCAACACCATGTGGCTGCATTTCACATTAGCTGCAGCCCTAAAGTTTCTGTCTCAGCAGAATAAGAGTAATTGCAAATTATTTTAGGAAAAGCATTTCTAGAGGATGGCATCTTCCCTCACTATTTAGCAGGACATCAAACAGACTGACTGTCACTGAGTGGTCCAAGAGGAATGTGTACAAAGACACCCTTTTGTCAAATCCTTGCTTTTATGCAGAGCAACATCCTGACAGATGGCCATTGACAATATTAAGCCTCTTAATAAAAAGACAAATATTTTGGTGAACTGTGTAGGTAAAAGAAAAACCACAATATAAAAATACAATGAACACACAGAGCTATACAGGTTAAGGCTGCAATATTAAACACTTAAGCTTATGAAATACTTTAGTAAAATTTCACCTGTGAAGCCTTTAAGTGACCTCTGTATCGATGCTGCATTAACCTCATCTGATCATGTTCTACTTAAAACATGGGAGCACTGCCTCAGCCAGAGCAACAGTGTGCAATTAGTGAGTAGCTAAGGCAGTATTTTGTTTTACTCTCAATACTCACCATTATGGTTCCACAGCCTTATTTACTGACTACTAGGGCTACTCATGCCATATGTAACAATCCAGAAGTTTGCCATGATGACAAAGTGCACATGCACAGTCCTGTATTTCAAAGTAAAACTCAGGAGTGGAAGCAGCAGTGCTGTGTGCCTATTGTATCAACAGAAAGCAGAAGACTCAACATCCCAAATCAGAGGGCATCTTTTAAATTAACCTAAATTGAATTTAATTGTCCCCTACAGAACATTCAGGGCTGAGTTCTTTCATAGCAAATATACAAATTTATTCTCAGAGAAGCCATAAATCCTAAAGAAACATGTACATGATCATGTAACCATGGACATCATCAAGGTGTAAGCAGTATTCAACAGTATGTTGTTAAATATTAGCGAAATTGTCAATGTAACATTAATGGCCCCTTTTGTTAACCTATATACAGTTTTCAGTCTTTCAAGCATACCGGGACAATTTCTGCTGCAAGGCATTAAAATGTTAATACACATGACTAATTACCTGGACCAGAGTCTCTTAAGTATATTTGGTAACAGCAACTATCTGCAGACTGTACCCAAACTGATAACACCAATTTGTACATGGTGCTGCCCATCCCTTTGTTTTCCTCTCCTGTATCAGCTTAAGATAGAAGGCGACTATACAGATTCTAAATAAAAGAGCACTGTACAAAGATTGTCCTCTCTCTTGGTGTCTTGAATGCAGAGCAAGGGGCAGTATCAATGCAGGAACAAAGCAGATCTTCACCTTGCAAAGGAGGATGGCAAGTTAGAGAGCAAACCAAAATGAGGCTTTGAACCTCCATGCTGGAGAGCAAGGGAAAATTGACAGGTAGGTGATCTGAAAGAAAATGGTTTTACAGAAGGAAGATAAAGTGCTAAGTACAAAGCATGCCAAAGAAAGAGGAAGAACCCTTATGCAAAGCTTAAACTTAAAATATTGTCCTTAACAAAGAACAGAGAGGATAGCACAAGTCCACTGAGACATTTCATGCTGTGCACATGTATGCAGACTGTTATAAAGCACTCTAACTCCCATACAGATGAAGTTACTTAGTTACTGAAAGAGTTCAAGCTATCCCTTCTTTTTAGACCAGCAACCTGAACAGCCAAAGCTGGATGACAGCATTCAAGGAAATAATGAAAAACAAGGGCTTAACATTGATCCAAAGCATTAACTGAGGACTCACAAGTTAACTGCACAGAACAGTTGAGGGGCTGAAGAGTTTGAAACACAAATACTTCAGGTTATACCAATTTATTAATTAAAATAAAACACTGGGTTTACTTGACAGTTAAGACAAGCTGAAGCCTCTCCCATTTCCTCACCATTTCCAGACTATCTGGATGAAGTCTAGACCCTTGTAAGTCACAGGATCACTGAGACAGTACTTATTCCATACTAACCTCTCCAAATGAAAAGCCAGCTTTATAAATACACAAAGCTGAACAGCATTCAAAGGCAAACTTACTTAGCAAGACAAAAAATCTTAAGTGTCAGAAGTTGTATGCCAAAAGTTAGTTCTGAAGTTTCTTGTGTTCACCAGCTCTAACAGTGCACAGATTTATCTTTTGCCACACATTTAACAAATATGTGCTTCATGTTTGACAGAAATGCCGATGCCACTTGCAGTGTAATTTGGCAACAGAAAATTTTGTCTCCCAGATGTCCAACTAAAGAATAACAACCATTTAACAAATTCTTATTAATTACCTAGTTTGATCAGCAAATCCCAACAGAACATAGACTGTGTTTATTGTCCATTATAGTTTCCAGGTGCTTGTAGCCTGGAAATCAGCTTACAGCACAGCATATTGCATAAAGTTAAGACAAATCAGAGCCATCTAAACCACCACTTTCATGATCTTGTTATTGTCTTTAAGATGACATTGTGGCAGCCCAACAGCAAGAGTGAAAGAGCCCACTGGAAGCCAAGAACCCTCCCCTGGCAAGGGTCAGGTCCATCTTGCACAGACAGGTATGGCAGGGTGGCTGTGCAACTGTTCCCAGTATCTGTCCTGCTGCAGCTTCCACTTCAAGCTATAGAGAGTGTGTAAATATGATTTTATACAAGAACAAGCCTTTTCTACTCATAATAAATCTGAGAGACTGCCAATGTGAGAGTCACATGAATAACCAAATAAAGTGAAGATTCTTGGACATTATCATAAGCAACAAAATAAGAAATTTAAGGCATTTGACTCTTGTTCCCCAAAGTTTCTTGTTTGTGTGTTTTAAAGCATGCCATATTGAGTTGGAAAGTTAGAAGCAGCTCCAAAATTGCCTATAAAAATACTGCCCTTTTCCCTACTTACTTTTTCAGAGGAAATAAAGTGGAAGAGAAAACAAGTCTTTTTATATTATGCAAAGATTCATAGGTCCTTCAGGGTAACACTTTAACAATTAAAACATTGGAATACACATTCTCCCTGGCAACATAAACACTACTGATTACCATGTGAAATGTGAAGAGCTGCTTATTAGCTAAATTCAGCTAATCAAGTGTATACCTTATAAGCAGAAAATCTTATGGGTCAATGTTTTATCAATCAGTTTTGGACTCAGTTTTAATGGTTACCATCCACAATATTACCTCAGGCACATTGTTTTAAAGAGCACTGGGGGATGAAGAGATATATTTTATTCCCTACATATTCAAAATGGATTTCTGAATCTGTGAGAAATCCGACATATTCCCAGGATGCTGATGAACAAGTTTTTAAAATACTGAAGCCAGAAGAGCTAGAAACAACCAATTGAGTACAGCATAGCAGCAACAGCCTATGCAAAGTGGCATTTTGAGAAGTCTGTAATTTGTAAAGGTTAAGCATGATTATTAATTTATTTGAGATATGAAAGAAAACTATCACCATTTCAATACTACCCTTAGATACAGTTACAGAAAACTAGTCATACAGACAAATCATATTTTAGGTTCTCTTGTAACACTTATGAAGCTGAACAAAATTAAAAGGCATTGAAGCAAAACTGTTAAGAAACCAGGCAGACCCATCAACTGGTTATGTTGAGCATGCACATCAAGGGACGATGGCAGATCAGTCTTTAAACAGACTTGCTGTTCAAGTCTCTAACTTCATCTTAGTTCAAACAAATATTAAGTATTTGAGCCACTGCTGCCACAGAAAAATAGACACCTCCCAGATGTAAACAGGATTTCAAAATCTGATAGATCCAAATCAGTTAACACTCCATACAGATAATTATAAAACCAGTTCCATTCTCATTGCTTTTTCACACACAATTTCCTTATTAAAAAGATGCAAAGCAAGTCTGGATATTTTTTACAGTACTTAGACTCCTCTGTAATAGAAATCTGACACTTTAGGTGAAACTTCCATACATTTTTCATGTCCTCGATCCATTTATGTCCTATAGCTGTTCTTTTAGCACTTGTGTTTCCTTAACTATACATATTAATAGCAGCTCAAAGTCAGAAACCTCTTTAAGAGGTAAGCATAGAAGTATTCCTATTGTTTCACAGTCCTCCAAATGGACTTTTTATAAAGTCCAGAAAATGTACACATTTATAGAAACAGGATAAAAAACAGATCACATTATGGTTTTTCCTAGGTTCTTCACTTAAGTGTATCTCACTAAAACACAAGTACAGTGACTTTTATTTACCAAAACAATTCATTAAAGAATTTAAGAGCAGGGAATAGAAGACCAGAACTAATTTTAAAATGCATTTATTATAGAAAAAAAAAAAAACAAACCAAACCCAAATCAACGAAATACCAAGAATTTTAAGCAATTTTACAGTAAAAATCATATAAATTTTTGTAACTGAGGTTGCTTTAATTTATCTGCTTGGTTGGCTCACTGCTTTCAGTATATGAATTTCTACTAACCTGATTTCATAAAAATCTATGAAAGAATATAATCACCTGAGCTTTCAAACAAATTACATTTCTCAGCACATAGGCCACAGAACAAGCCTCCCTGCTTGTCAATGCACAAAAAGACACAGAGCAGTACCCAAAAATTCAGTTTCAATATTCTGCACATTCAGTTCTTTCCAAAATATGTAGTTGCTATAACAAAAGCAGAACAAAAAAACAAAAACCAAACCTAGCAACAACAATAAAAAGTAGTGGTGACAGTGGATATGCCAAGCATTTAGACAATGGATAAGCAATTGAGGTGACAGCAGTGGGGAATTTACTGTATGAGCATCTAGAAAGGCTTAAATTGATATAATTCTTTATATGCAACTTCTCATTAGAAGTTATTTCATTCTTATATCTATATGCGGATGAAGAAACAATAGCTCTGGCTGCTATGGAGCAATTGCTGTAAGGAGGCTGCTGGTGAGCCCTCAAAATCCTCTGCAGAGCTATGAATGTATGAGGAAGTTGGATAAACACTCCCAGGATGTTCATAAGACATTATAGAGATGCACTGATTGTACAGCCAGACCCTGAAAACTTCTTTATTTCAGCTTAGTAAGAATAGATGATGGTAAACTCAGTGGAGTTTTCTAATCTATTTTATTTCTTTTTTTAATTGTGGGAATTCTGTCTGAATAGCTCTTAAGTGCAACAAAATTTTAGCCAGTTAATCAGAAGTGCTACATATACTGCTGCTTTCACTGGCCCCACAGGATTTGATGCATTTCAGTAAACGGGGGTGACACTACCAGAACATATCCCAAATGATCATCTACAATGGCCTGCTTCCAACCATTGCTCCCTGAAGTAAGGTTATGGGTCAAAACTCAAATTAATGGCCAAAAGAACTAGAGAAACCACTAAGAGCTTGTGGATTCAACTACAGTCAATGAAAAATCTTTAAAAAACTCCAACCCAAACCCACCCCCAAAACAACATAAAATCTCCAAACCACAAACAAACCCAACACACCAAGAAGACTGTTCTCCCACATAACTAAAAGCAATATATTCAAATGTTCGAATAAAAATTGAAAAACTTAGGTCTGGAGAGACTGCACATTGTTCATACACAGACTGCAGACACATTAGCAGTCCAGGCTCTTTGGACACTCTTATTTTGCATGTGTTCTACAACGCACCAAAAGGCTTCTCACTGCATTTCTTCCTTGTAAATGTAAACCAAACCAAATGTTTATCAGTCCAAAGGGTACTTGGAGGTGAAGACCACAAAAATCTTTGGTAGTTATACTCTGTGCAAAGTAACAGTAAATAGCCTCAATAAATACTGCACCAAGTGAAGAAACCAGCACTATTCTACCTACAGGTTTAGGTACTTGGGAGATCATGGAATGAAACACAAAACTCTCGAGCAAGTCCACTTTGGGCTTGCTGCTGTCACACATGTCTGCTGCTATGGAAGTCTAGTTCCTCCAAGCAAGTCAGTGGTTTTGCCTTAGAATCACAGGCCCTGCTGGCTCAGAGCATTTTGCAGGAGCCAGTTAAAGTATTAAGGCTGAAGTAAATCCAGCAACACTCACCTATTTGTACTTGCTCTGGCTGGCTCAATGAGACAAATGCAGATGTATCATCAATCCACGAAACCTGAATGTTACCTAGAAAAGCAAAAGAAATTTTTATGACTACTTTTATTTCAGACTCAGTCACAGATTTTTATCTGACATGCCATGACATAAAAAAGCCAACTAAGAGTAACTGGACTTCAGAAGGCTTCTGTCCACTCTACAGGTGTGTAGTTCATACCCAGTTCCACAAAAGCCTGGAACTGTTCAGAAAGTCAGGGCAGCATGAGCAGCCTGCATACATCCACACCCTCACATCATCCCTTCATGGCTTCTGTATGAGTCCACAAAATAAATTGAAGTGATTTTCTAAGAATTTCAGCCCTTTACTCAAATAAATAACAGCTCTTTGAGTGATGATAAATTCCAGTTGAAAGGATTGATTGATCACACCAATGGAGAACTTCACTGTTGGGACATTAAATTTTCAAACTGGTTTGCTTGAATCCCACTATACATCATTTCCTGGATGTGAACTAAAAACTTAATTTGAGTCAATATGAGGACAAATGCACAAAATCATGGACCTCATTTGGAAGCTGTTACAATGGAACAGTGACTGGAAATAAGTCCCTCTATTCATCAAGCAGTTAGTGCATTTTCTATGTGAATGGCTTAAAATGTCACATTAGCACTAAAAGAGCTCATAATCAAGCAAAAGCAGAGGAAAGGATTCCCATTCCAGACACAAGGTCTTATTATAGTCTGAAATCCATTTACATCTCCTGTGCTTACATCTCCTGTCCTTATCTAAGTGCTTTACTGTTAGTACAATTCAGATATTGAAAATTGGTGCCATTTTTTCACGTAGACTAGAAAATCAAGTTATATATAATGTTACACCACCATTTAACCTTCAGACATCACAAGGTTAAAAACAATGATGCAAAAGGGCTTAAAATACATTTATTCTCAGTTGTTTAATCTATTGAAATCTAATTTAGTCTACAGGTTACAAGGTTATAGAAGTCTCTTCTGAAATCCAGCCAGATTATAAACAGATTTTCTAATTATATTTAAAAAAAAAAGCCTAGATAGATTTCATTCGCATGCTATACATTTGAGTAGCCAGCTATTTAGGAGTTTAAGTTATAATCATTTTGATCATTGCCAAGACCATAATTAATTCAGTATGGTTTCTGACATCTCCCTGTACTGAAGGGCTAAGGCTGCTATTAAGATGAGCCTACACCATGAAGTTAGAATTTCTTTAAACATTTTTTAAGGCACATAAATTCAATTTCTAGTAACTGTGCCTTTGAAGAACACAGAACTTTGCTGCCTATGGGTAAGGCTGTTTGGTGTAGGGAGAAAATCCTTTTGGCAGGACACTAACAACAGAAGGAAGACCTGTGCTGGCTTGTGACTGCAGTTCAGAACTGTAGTGCAATTTGCTAGGACCCCAACATGAAGTTTCCTCTAAAGGACAGAAATTACTGTACAAATTCATATTGCTCTAAATGCATTGATAAATCTTTGCTCTAAAATTATTTATTTATGAAGTTCTCCAATTTTGTATTACTAATTACACAATTTTCTAAACAATCATTTCAGACATCTGAGACCACATTCTGTTGTAACCTGCAACACAGAAATGCTGTCCAGATTGTGTCTCTTTCCTATTTATTAATTAATTTCAATCTTCCTGATTGAATTCCTTCAATATTTATTAATTTCAATCTTCCTGAGCAGACTGAAAGATAGATCAGGAAGAAAAATTCTCCTGAGTACCCTGCAATTGTGCCTTCCATATAAAATAAGAAAGATCAGTGACAGGCAAAAAAATTCTCCTGAAGGAATTCAGCTACTATTCAAATAAACTTCAGTGTCCATGTTTTCATTAAATGCCAAATAAAAATAAATTCGTAAAAATCCAACCTATTGGCACATCATTTCAGTATCAGATCTTTATTGTTGCAGAAAGGCTTTCTTTCCATATGACTTTGTATTTTTAGCTAATAAAGGGTTTCAACACCTGCCAACATATCTTGCTTTTATACTCAGATTTATGCATTTTAAATACAGCATTAAAAGAAAGTCAAACATTAAATAGCAGACACTGAGTTCCAATTTGAAGCAAACTGCAACAAATGCTCTTATGCAACTCTCCATGCTTAAGAAATGCTCTCTTCAGACTGCCACATTTCATCATTATTAAGAAGTAAGAATTTAGGAGAGATAAGATTAATACATTAAATCATTCAGCAATACTGCTAAGCACTCAGTAAACACTGTGCATTTCAAAAGTATGGTGAAATGCAAATAACGATCTGGAAAGCAAATGCAGCTGCAGTACAATATTTAGCAATCACCAGAGCCCCATGCCAGCTCACTGCAAGGCCAGGGCAGATAAGCCAGGGACAGCAATGTAATGGAACACCAGCTGTAGAGACTAAACCAGGAAATTTCTCTCTCTGCACTTCTAGAATACATCAAGTCTTCATACTTTGAAGAATTCCACTGGTGGTGGCACTGGTGGACTATGACATGAAGGTGCAAGTAAAATGTATTTCTTTTAAATAGAAATTTGTAAATTCTCCATATATTAGCTCAAATATGCATACAGGATTAAATACACAGAATAAAATCATACTGATGGATTACATCATTGAAACATTTTCCTTTTTATACTCTGTTCTTGTACATTTCTTATATGACTTCTACTGGCAATTAAGCAGTAGTTTTTATAATACTTCAATAGTATGAGTTTTAATCAAAAGCCCAAAGACATTAATTTAAGTAGAACTCAAGGCTATACACTAAAGCTGTATTCCAGCAAATCCTTTTTAATGACTTATTTCACATCAGCAAGACCAAATAAACAATGCAAATTTAAGAATCGAAAAGTCTTCTAAGAGACTGCATAGTGCTGCAAGTTCTTGTACAGTGAAACTACATTCACCCCTGAGACTATAAAAACATCTTGCATGAACAGGTGTCCACTTGGTATGCAGGCAGTCCTGAAGGGTTTCAGATTCATGAACATCCCTTCTAGAGTAGCAAACGTAAACCAGTTCCAAGTGTGACACTGCAGCCCTTTCAGCTGTTTCACCGTATTTTGTTAGAAGCTCCATGGAAGATTATAACTCTCCTTCAATTAATTCTAAAATATTTTTTTCTGTAAAATTTGAGTAATACCAGTTAATTTCAAGACACTTTGCTTTAACTGATGTAATACCTTAGGGTAATTCATGTCTGTTACTGCCTTTTTTTTTTTAATCTTTTGGCAAATCGCTCAATCTCGCACTGTACCACTCTGCCCCTATCCTTACAACTGGAAAAGCATGGGTACTTCTGTATTCCAGAATTTTGAAATGAAAATTTCCTTTTGGAAGGAAATTTTGCAGTTTGTTTTGAGACACTGTGGCAAAAAGACTTTAAAAAATACAGCTTATTAATTACGGAAGCTGGAGTTTGTAAATGGAAATATGAAAACATTCAGCTCTGCAATCCGGAGGAGCGCGGGAATTGGCGAGGCCCGCAGCGAGCCTGCACCGGTGTGTGAGCGCGCCCCCTGCCGGCGGCGGCCGCCCCCAGGGGCCGGAGCCGCAGGAGCCGAGCCCGCAGCGGCTCCGCAGCCCGGGACACAGCCCCGGAGAGCCCTCCGCTTCTGCACCTTTCCCCGGAGAGCCCTCCGCTTCTGCACTCCCGCGTTCCACCTTCCCAGGAGAGCCCTCCGCTTCTGCACTCCCGCGTTCCACCTTTCCCCGGAGAGCCCTCCGCTTCTGCATTCCCGCGTTCCACCCTTCCCAGGAGAGCCCCGCCGCTTCTGCATTCCCGCGTTCCACCTGAACGGAGGACCACTGAGGACTACTGGTCCTCAGTTATTAACTACCCATTCTGCTGTTTCTTCTCACTTGGATGGTAAACCAAATTGGTTATTTTCAAGCTTGCTTGCCTAGACTCCCATATGCTGGAATTGGGCTGTACACCTGCTGCAGGATGAACCTTGTTCCTAAAGCCTCCATCTGCCTCACATCAATCCCCAATCCCTTTTTCCACCTATATAAACTCTTACCTCCTTTCAGGAGAGGCTGTGAATAAAAGGATAGAAGATCCACAATATTCAGCAAACACCAAATAAAGATTTCTAAAGAGCAGTTAATAAGAACAGTAATTTTCAACACATCATTACAAAGTTCACAGGACACCAAATACAAAAATTACAAAAAGAGATTCATCATTACCTACACTAGGAATAAGTCTGCACTCACAGACTAAAAACAACAAACCAAACCAGAAGTGTAACTTGTTAATAATAATAAAATAAAACAAAACAAAACCAAAAAAAGACAGACCGTATTACTCACCAAAGGCACTGAAAAGCTGGTATAGGTCACTAGTCTTCCACTCTTTGGGAAAAGTAACATGAAGAACATGATCTCGTTTGGGCTGCACTACAAAGCAAAAATGCTTTTGTTAAAATAAGAGTCACTGCATCTTTAGAATATCCTAAAACAGTAATCCAATTGGGGTCATGTAGCTTTTTTCTTTCCTTTCCTTTTAAAATAAGAAAACAGGCCAAGATTTATGAAACTGAATTAGGTACAGTGAGAATGTACCTGCACTTAGACATGAAAGATATTCTAAATCCTACTAGCTCATCTGCTTAAGAAATTGAAACAGCATTTCTAGCAGTGGGAAATGTCCACAAATGTAGTCCATTGATTTATCCCTTGCACCAAACCAAGTTCAACGACAGAAGAAAAAGAAAAAAAGAAAAAAAAAAAAAAAAGAAAAAAACCCCAACAATTTCTTCATGCTCCACCTTTAAAAAATTCTTAGCAATGGTTCAATTTTTGCCATTTTTCTGTTAATAAAAAACTTCCTGTGAAACAATGTTCAACTCAATTTTCATAAAATATTAGATACAAGCTAGAATAGACACACTTATTATTACTGAAAACTACACCAAGAAAAAAAGACAGCTCATCAAGGCCAACATCTGAAGTGCAGATGAAGTCTTTAGTGTATACTGAATGTCATTTAAAAGCTTGTGAATTTGAGAGAGATAATTCAAATCAAGCTGCTGGAAGACATAAGAATTCAGCAGAAATTATTATTATGTATCTTACTTTTAAACACTACTCCTACCTGAAGTTCCTTTCATTAGAGATGTGAGCTTAAATATCCTGTGAATTCTTATTGTATTTTAAAAAGAAACAAGTGGAACACCGTATTTTCAGAGACAAAGATACTGAAATATTTCACAACTTCCCACAAAACTATCTGCAGATCATTAATTAAGCCTTTCCACAGGTATCTGCAGAGATCTATTTTGTTATGTATGACACATTGCTAAATCTTACACGCCGTGTTATGTTTGATGACAGAGGCTGAACCATTAAAGCTGAGTGCCCCACTTGACAATGCAGTGCTCCAGTTTGTTCAGTGTAACTCAAGGGTTAACTACACACAGCTCAATGTGATCAGATTTTAATCTGACCACCTAGTAACACCCTCAGGAAAATCTCTCTTCTTTTGGCATAGAGCCATAGGGACTCTTTTTCATTTTAGTGAATGATCAGCGACTTACCCTCCTGAATTCTTCTCTAATACAAACTTTTATAGTTTCTGATCTCCTTAGCTTTCAGCATTAAAACTGGAGAGCTTTCCAAGGTGTATCTCATTCATAGGGCAGGTGTTCAAAATCAGACTATCAGCCACTTGTTATTGCTAAGTGTTTTAATCTGTTTCACCTGAACAAGTGGATTAATCTGAGTTGACCAGAAGCTCCCTAATAATCAATTACAGGTGTACATGAGCACTGAGAGCACAGTCAGGCTGGACAGAGACACAAGTAGTTAAGGAAAGCAATCCCTTCCTGAGCACAGGTGAAATCCTATTCCCTAAATCTGCTAATTAAACAAAAAGGACACATTTTTTAAGGACTAAAATTCAATTATTTTGCATTATACAAGTCAAACAGCAAAACCCCACAAGCAACAAATCAATTCACAGCTGTACAGCTTACTGAACAGAGAGTAACTCATAGTTAAATTATTTGTAATCCAGTGGTAGAAAATCTAGCATGAACAACTCCAGTTTCAGATATTACAGCCCTTTTATATTGATCAGAGAAAATAAACTATTCCTAACTTTCCTGTATCTGTTTATTCTTAAATTCACAGTGAATCTGCTGTTAAAATCTCTAACTTCTCCCTACTCAGGTGAAAAGTATTTGATTATTTTTCTTTTGTTTGCAGTAATTTTGTGCAGCAACTTCATTCTTTCAAATGAATTTTTACACAGTAACAAAAGATGATGAAAGTCACATTCACATATTCCATACTATTTAACTTAGCACATGTTACTGAAACCCATTATTTCAGGGAAAATTGCACAAACTTGCTATTTCACTACATGACAAACAGAAGCATACAAATTACAACAGTCACCTAGTCAGCTGTGCCTCATCTCTTTTTTAAAAATACAGATTCCAAGGGCACCTCCCACAGAAACCTGGCTGTTCTCTTTAGGCGTCTTTGCTTCTCTGCAAAACAGTCCTCCACAGACAACCACCAGACTGCTACCTCAACCTGCAGTGGTGTAAATCTCAGAACAGCAACTAAAGTGGCTAAAACAGCCAGCCCAACTTGCAACCCCTGCAATGCATTCTGTTTTGAGGCTTAGAAAGCCTCCTTGGCTCAGGTTCTCCTAAAATATCTGCATCAGTCTGTTCTACCGGAGTGGCTTTCAGATAAAAGAGACAGACTTTCAGAAGCAGACTCTTTTTTGGCAACCCTTCTTGGCAAAGTATCAAAACAATCCTGTAAGTTGGCCAGCAAGTGGAAGTAGCATCTTTACAAATTAGTAGCTTTGGCACTCTCTCAATGACCCAAAGTATTTGCCCATTCTTCCACTCAGTATCAAACAGTTGGGGAAGGAAGATGCAATGTAATTAGATTACCATTCCAGCAGAGCCAAAGCTCAGTGATCTGACCACCTAACTGAATTTAAAATTAAATATATGCCCTTACAGCATGTATTTTCCTCTCCAACAGTTGCTTCCATCTCTCTAGAACTGCATTCTGTAACTATTACACTGGCATCTCATAGAGTCACACTCCAGTCTGAGCTTTCTGATGCAAGGAGTGGAAAATGTGTCCACATCAGTACTGCTTCCAAATGGGTATAATTCTCGAGACATTGTGTATCTGACTCCTCAATATAAAATTAAGCTTTTATCTAATCAAGGACCAGACTGACCTCCAGGGCTTCACATATTCCTAAGTCAAGGCATCAGTGGGAAGCCTCATCCAAAGTTTTTCCCCTAATAATGAAACATCCCGTAACAGCAAGGACATTTACATTAGTAGAATCTATTTTAATTTAAATATATGATCAACTAATAACAGCTCTAGGTCTGTAAAACAGAAAGGTAGAAATGTTTTAAGCAATATTTTTCCATTAGCATAATCCCATGTGGCAAAAGAATCCTGATGTTTAGGCTGAAGTTAAGGAGAGCTACTACTGTGTGGCAATTGAGAAACGAAGTGGTCGCAAGATTTTCACAACTATTTGCTATTCACTAGTTCTCTATTTACTGCTGGGGTGAGAGGACAGTGTTAAGATTCCACTTTTATGTGATATGGTACATAAAATAGTAACCCAAAATAACAATAAAGCTGTTAATTTAAAACTCTCTCATTTAATAACATTAACTTAATTTGTTCTCGTCAGCCCCCTTTATAATGCAGATTCTCTGGCCAAAGTTTTAAAGAATTTCTGGGTTTACTATTTTGTTAAAGGAAAACAAGGAAGTAGACACATTTAAATAATTTCATAAGTAGCTAATAACCTAAACACAGCTGATGGATATGCTGATAAACTTGCTTTAGATATACATAATTAATCTTTACACTTCCTTCTCCAGGAATTGTGTCAGAATGGTACTACTTTTACAATGAAAGAAGCTACTTACAGTCTGGTCCTTCCAAATTGAGATATGGTATGTCCATTACTCTCATAAGAAACAGCCTAGAAATAAAATGGAAAACAACCATTAGCAAGTTTCTGCCTGAAGATATTTTCCTTTTTATAGTTTTTTTTTTTCACATGTTTTCTTCTAAAAAAACAGAATTAACCATCCTAAACTTATCCTAAGGTATGTTAAAACAAAACAGACCCTCTAAGCCAAATCTCTTATCTTACACCAGATTCAAAAGGTACTTGGCATCATACCAGGAATCATACTTATTATTCAAGAAAACAAGGCCAAAAAAGGCCCAAATTGTTACTGCTGGAAACAATAAGTATGAGTGGGGAAGGAACATTTAACAAGTGGCAGCTCTGTTTAGTAAGAGCCCCTTGCACAGTGGGTAGTGCAAACGCTGCCATCATTCTAAATACACATAAATTTTCTGAGCACTTCAACATGCTTTAGACAAAATGGATCTTAGAAACCTTAAAACTGCAAAAGCCATCATGACTTCTTTGGAGATAACTGAAATGAGTCTTTTCCTCTTAAACATGTCTTTGAAGAATTTCTGAGAACATTCAAGAAATGCTTTCAATAAAAGTTCTTACTCAGGTCTGAAAACTATTTCCTTCCAAAGTAAGATGATCAGCTTAAAATCCTGTCATAGGTACAGATGTCACATTGATATTACAAAACATTTCCTGTGTATAGTGTTCACTGGAAGCCCAAAATAAATAACTTTTTCATCATAAGCATTTTAGAAGCTTTTTAAAGTTATCAGATTGCAGTTACAGCATTCAACTAAGTACTAACTGATGTAAACAGCTGAGTTTTTTATACATACTGTTCTGTAATTCCCTAGATTCTTTGCATCATACCACCCTCACTAGGAGTTCCTAAGAGTAAGAATATCATGCCTTTATGATTCCCTGTATCACTGATAAATCTACTGAATGCAGTTGCTAACTTGGTTTTGCTACAAACAGAAGAAAAAAACCCCAAACACTGGAGGCAAAATGTACTGTGTGGCAGGCTCACATGTGAGCCACAAGGTGTGAGAACTGGCACCAGTTGTGCCACACATTGTCCCACCTAATTTATCTTCTGAGTCTCAGGAAACGTACAGTCTGACATGCACTGCAAACCCCCTGAGCACTGCAGCACCTAAACAAACACACATATTCTCCCTGTAGTCTAAATACTGATTTTAGTATTAAGTGCACTTCAGGTGTGTAACAGAAGTAACTGCATCTTGTAGCACTAACTTACACTACACGGATTATGAACACTGAGCGCCAACATAATCCATCTAAGTATCCATAACTATGGTTCTAAGATTCCTCATCTATCTGCAGAACATTTAAATTAAGACTTTTCTGTGTGACAGCATGAACTCTGTATTAAATTAGCTCAAATCATGAAGTTGTGAGTTAATGTTGTGAAAATCAGTGTCATAGCTGTATTTCTTTAAAAGCTAAGCAGACCAAGCTAAAAAAAATGTTATTTCCTACAGTGTTTAGGGACTACAGCCAGATCACACACTCAGAGGACAGAGATCCATTTCTCAATAAGAATAATGAGGTATTTTTAAAGAATCTTGGAAAACAATTGTTTCTGTGGCAAGTTGAATAAAATGAGGAGAGAAAGGCCATCATTGTACCAATCACAGCAGTGCATTAATAGTCTCAAAGAGTCAACATTGTTCCTCTGCACTGAACTAGGATCAAAGTTTTCACAGCTGTGTGGTGAACTGCGCAGAGAAACTGATCAAGCTGAAAAAAGTAAAAGGATTTTTTTAACCCAGCTCAGTATACCAGTCCAGGTCAGTGACTGCTTTAGCCACACGTGGCTGCAGGCACAAGAACAGCAACTGTTTACTCCTACACTGAGGGCAGGAAGTTATTGATCAAACTGCACAAAACCAAACCAATCTCCTTTTGCAGTAATTTTGCAAAGAAAAGTAAATTAATATAGAAAAGCTGAGGAATTTCCTACGCATGCCAGAGAACATAGCTCCCTATGAGAAACTTTCTAAAAATATAGCACAATCCCAAGTGATCCTCATGGATTTTCTGATATCCATTGTATAAGAAACATTTCTAAGCTAATTTCTGTTTCTACAGACCACAATGGTATTCACCTCAATAAAACATGGTGCTCTCGTTTCTCTACACCTCTTCCACCCTCTGCCTCCAGCTACATCAAAAGAATAAACAGCATTCAAACAACCCAAGGAGATACAAAAGAACATTGTCATTAAAAGTTTGTGAGGGGCGTGTGGGTGGGGGCAGGAAGATATGGAAGAGCTGCCCTAAACCAGCCAAAAAATTTCAAACCAACTCGAAAGTATGAGACAATAACAGTATCCAAATTACACACATAAGAGTTTAGATACTGCAATAAAGAGTCCCATCATCTCAACTCATAAATGTTCATTGGGGATTACTCACAGCAGACAAACAGGATTTTTCAAAGATGTTGTATATAAAATAAAGCATAAAGATTGCAGAAATGCATCTCTGGAATTCCTGCCTTATTGAGTTGTTTATCATATAACTTACTGCATTATGCCTAAAAGGGCTAAACAACCCTAAGGGAAAATCTGTTTTTAATCAGTTCCACTCTCACAAAAGCCCTAAAACTAAAGATTTTACCTATGTTCATCATTATTCTGTATGAACATTAACGTATATCCTGGCCATCATTCTTGAACTGCCAGCCAGGAAGTTCCATAATTTTGCTGACATAATGAAATCCATCAAAATTACTCTTGGAAAAAGTATTATCTTAATTTGAAAGCTAAGTTCATAAAAATCAAAGCTTGATTTTTTAAATTTTAAATTTACTAATTTAAATCACATTAGTGACAAGCCCATTGAAACAGGAAACATTTCCAAAATCCTACCAATGACATGAAGGTTTAATCACTAAACTGTAGTTAAGTGTTAACATCTAATACACAGATATCTTGAAATTAAGACTCAAAGAATCCCAAAGAATCATGGCCTGTTGTAAAGAACATTTTCAAGACTATGTGGATAATAGTTCAAACTGAGAGCACTGCTTCTAAAACAGTGTTCTTACACTAAACTCCTCTGCTTAGCTTCTTTCAGGAAAAATGTGTGACATAAGGTGTAATTTTCATTTGTTTAGGTTACTGTTTGCATGGTGTAGTTTTGTGTTTTGCTTGAAGAACATGACTATAGCACAAAGGAAAAGGTTTCCTTGTTCTAACTGCTTCCCACAGATTCAGGTAGAACTTCCAGACGAAGACAGTTTTTTTTCTCCCCAGCAGGAAGAGAGGATGTTCAGCATGGGAAAGATTCTAGACCACAAACTAAAGACAAGTAGATGTAGCAGGAAGCTGGCTGGCAGCCCAAAGCATACCTGCCAAAAAGCCCCAGAAACAACACACTAAGGGACCTTTAGGGAACTCTGAACTGCAGAGCCCTGGATGCTACTACAGGTGCTAAAAACACCACATACTGCAGACAGAGACCTGCAAGGACTGACTGAACAGAGCAAAAGACTTGTGCATTTAAACACCCCACAGCTCTGACTTCTGACATGTACTTAAACATTCTTTATTAAAAAAATAAAAAGAAAAAAAAAGTAATCTTATTTTTGTTTGTTAGTTTGTATTATAGGAGAAAGAAAACTAACTTGAAAAATACAAGCCTTGGCCTGCTCACTGTAAGGAAAAGGTGACAGAGTCTCACTTCTGAGCTCTGACTTAGGTGATGTGGCAGATGTTAGATAGAATATAGCAAAACTTTTAAAATCATGTGAAAGCAAGATATGGCAATTCTTCCAAGTTTCCATGATTTAAAAATAATATATAGATTTTCTGAAACAAGAAGCTACAAGTTCTGAATAATGGCAGAACGGACAAACACTCTTTTCTTGCAAACAGTTATTTTCAGTTCTTGCTTAGAAAAGAAAAAAAAAAAGGCAGCTGTTCTCCCTACAGCTTGTTAACTCTTCCTTTCTATACAGTCAGGCAGTTAGCCCTGCAGCTAGAACAGACACAGCAGGCTTCCTCTCACTCACTCTCACAACTTTAAAATGTCACTCCTGGAGGAATGTCACATTTCAAGTACACAATTAATTTGAAAAGCTTAAATTTCATGTACTATTGTGACAACTCTAGAAGTTGCTGTTTGTACTTGTTGCAAATATTCATTTCTAGGAAGAATTTTGGCTAATGATTGAAAAATAAACCTGCTCAATTGGCACCTACTACTTGGCACATGTGTGTTGGTATTATGGAAAAAAATCTAGTGACAAATCCCATCTTAAAATGAAATTGTGCTGATCAATTCTATCTTCACCTTCACATTCAAATCAAGCAGTCACTGTGGGTTCATGTTTCATCTAGGGAATATCTGTAATATCAGCTAAAATATATGGAGTTACAGCCTCACATGTGTCAGAGTCAAGAGAATCATGTAATTGCTGTCACTATAATGATATGATTTTCAGAACACTGAAAGGTGAAAGCCACTGATCACAATAATTTTCTCATTTGTGTCGGCCATCTGAAGCAAAAATAATTAATTTTGCCAACTCCTCTATTACAGGTTTGAAAGCATGGAATTTCTCCTGAATTTAAACAGAAAGAGTAAGCACTAGAATATTTTTAATTTTAACTCCTTTTCCTTTATGTGACAGATTGCAGCATCTTTAGAAGTTTCCTAAGGTAAAATCTACAGATTAATTATGTAAAGGATGGATTCTGTGAATAAAGACTTCTGGATTCCCCATGTCTTATTTCAATTTGTTCAAAGAGCTTGCAAGAAGATCCAATTCAAAAGCAAAATACTGCTCATAGCATCATCGCATAAATCATACATCTGTATTACTTATGCCATCTTAAAAATGGGCTACCTGACAATGTTAATACCAATCCTTTCTGCTATTTGGACTGACATTACCATAGGGATATTTTAGTTTTTCCAGACTGCTGAGCACACTCAATTTTCACTATCACCAGTTACTGAGGGTCCTACAACATAAAGAACACCTGACCAGTTTGTCTTCAGTTCCACCACTTCCAAAGCTTACTCCAGAAATAACAGCAATGCCATTAAAGCAGTCCAGGAACTCTTTTAAGTGTCCTTTCACAGGTCAGCAGAAAGCAAACCATTCTCCTCAAAAGAAAAAGGTATTTACTTCATAGCCTCTCTACCATTACCAGCATGAATCAGAAAGCCAAAACAATTTCAGTTTAAAGAAAAATGCACTTAGCTATAGATTCCAAGGCTAGAGGTAGATCTGCTGAAGCTGGTGTTGTTGTACTTCCAGGTTTTAGCAAGATTTTTTGTACAACTACTTACTTGTTAAAAAAAGGTTCAATGAGTTTTGATCTAGCAGACACGTGGTTTTTCGGAGGACTGAGGAATGAACCTGATGAATGAAGAATAAATTCAGTATGTAATAAGCAGCTACAGGGAGCACCAGGAAGAAGGTTTGGAAAAGATTTCACACGTACCTAGGAAATTAGCCATGGAAATGAAGCACAGTCCAGTAATGTAAGCATCATATCCTGCTTCATGGAGTTGTTCAGATGCTGTATCATAACTTGGAAATCCTTCTGCACTTTCTGAGGGGAAAAAGACATTTATAAAGACACTATGATATAGTCCTGTATGCTTACCCACAGGTTTATTTTGTCAGTGTATAACATCATTTGGGGAATGTTGTATAAACACACAACTTTCAGAATCTTTGAATTTTCTAAAGTTCTTAAAAAAGCAGTTTTGTTTGATATTTTTAAGTAAGAATAGGTTCATAAGATGGAAAGTCTTTCCTATTAAAAAGGCCTTAGTCCCTAGACCTACTCAGCCAAAATGAAGTATTAATTTTAAGACAGTGACAGCAGAATTCTTCACAAGGAGTATCTTTTTCCTGACTTGCATTTAAGAGAACAGACAGTCTAATTGAAAGCTTCACTATTAACCAGACAGATAGGTCAGATTTTTCAATAGATTTAAATGAAGACTAAACTAAGTACTTTAAGGATGTCTTTATTGACAAATGCATTTGGAGTTTATGCTCTGCACATTCAGCAAGATAAAAAAGTACTACTCATCTTGATTTTGATCAAGCATTGGAACTTTCAACATATTCTACTCTACAGTATTCCTCTGCCTTTTCTAAATCAGCAGCTTAAGGAAAATTCCAGAACCTTGAGCTAAGCTTGCCCTTTGATTAAATATCCTTGTGTTCACCTCAAAGCAAAAAACCCTTTCTCCTACTAAAAGAACTTAAGTAATTCCTAGAACACACATGACTGGTCACTGCTATATAAATTTTATTGGTTTTGTTTGTGCCTCTTGGAGTGCTCTGGCTTTGATCTGAAGGACAACCACCAAATGAAAGTTTTAAACAAATTTCAAATTAATCCCCAAAAATCAACCTAAAAGAAAAAATTCCATCATTAGAAGATGATGAAACTGCTGTTCACTGAACACATCCATTCTTTTACTGTCTGGATTCCTATTAATTTCCAGGTATACTTCTAAATATAATTGCACTGTATGTACAGTGCCCTCATTTAAAGTCCCTTAATCAAAACACTAAATATTAGCAGGGGAATTTATATTGCAGACTGAGAACAAAAATAATCAAAACATTTCAGAAATAAGAGCATTTTGATATACCCTTACCAACTTTAGGAGGGCTGAATGGAACCTCTTTTAAACGCTTTTCCAGTTCTGCAAGTGATGTATTATTAATCATCTCCTGCAAGAAAAGCCATCATTAATCGTCAGTGCCAAGCACATTTTCCCTGGAAACTGAAATCAAACAGGATCAAATGAGTATTTACTGCTGCCACCTTGTGTTCCCTAAGGATTTACACAGAGCCCTATTTCAAACAAATGCACCAGAGGTGTGTCAAGACAAATCTCAGTTACCTTGCCTCACTTGCATCATAACGAGTCATAAGTATTTATTAATGGGCTCAGAATTATTGAGGGATTATGCTAAAGTAATATTTCTATTTGAATCTTGTTTCATGCAGGGTACATGTGGCAAGGGAAAAGGCAGCACAAACAGCAGGGCAAATATTCTAAATACTGATCATAATGGTTGAAGGCATTCAAGGTGAGTACTGAAATGTGTTTGCTGACTGGACATTCTTTAATAGTTTTACAAGTGTAAATATTGCTGATTTAAAGTCATACAGAGACAGTGAAAGAAGCCTGACAATCAGAAAGTTGCTCCTACACTTAACTTAGTTGAGTAGCATCAATGAAATCTACTGATGAACTATATGCATAAAATAAAAAGCCACAAAGATTTATTACAGATTAATTCCCTAATCAAATATATGTTGTCAATGGAAACATGCAGAATCAACAGCCAGAGAAAGCAAAACATCTCCCACAATCTTTCTTAAAGTTGTCTGAGATCTATGAGGACCAGATTTAGTTTGTTTCTCAATCAAACTTAGCTGCTTACACTCATCGAGTCTGCAGACTGAAAAGTTATCAAGAACTAAGTACAATGAACAAGTTCAAATGATGCATTAATTTGGCATACCAAAGTAGGGTTTCATAACAACAGGCTAAAAACACAAGCATCTGCTGTAGAATTACAAATATTAACATAGCTGTACCAAACATAAAACTTGTGGAGGTTTCTTACTTTTCAGAATGCCACAAAGCCTCTATTCTTACCAGAGCAGTGTGCAACACAAACCTGACAATACCTACATGTGTATTTAACAGTGCTTCTTTAAGCAATACTCTGGAGTCACAGAGCTATGCACAAAGAGAGATGCTGCTTCCTCAGCATGTTTTTCAATTAATTCAAGGGTGTGTGGGAAAACAGGAGCTTATGAACACTTATCTTAATACTTATTTAGAGGAATAAAACTCATACTGTAAGAGATTCTAGGAGAAACCTGTAATTTTTTTCCTCCTGCTGACTACCCGCTGAGCAAAGGCCACATGAGAACCTAATGATGATACAGCACTTTTCCAGACAAATCTAAGTCAGCATTCACAGTACTCTAAGGCTTTGAATATACAAGCAGCCTCCAGAACCTATTTGTTCATGAACAGCACTTTTTTAATCTCCTATGGGGACATGCTACTTAACAAGAAGAAAATAATCTACTAATCATACTTTACCTACTTTACATATTTTGGAATCCAAAGCTGCCAAGTTACCATAAAACTTCAAACAAAAGTGACAAAAGTCACTAGTAGTAAAGTAAAAATTTGCATTCTATAAATTCTGTAATTTAGATAACGGGTAAAGAAAAACTGTTCTTGTACAATAAAAGGAGCATCACAGAAAATATTATTAGTCATCTTTCTCTACAAAGAATTATTTGTTTCAATACACATGTATTAATGCAATTTTGTATCTTCAAATCTTTCTATAATATTAACTTACCTTAAAAGGTTGCGTACTTGCCATCAGTTTAGTATCCAGTAACCTAGAAACAAAATAAGAGCTAAATAGGTTGAAACAGAAGAATGTCCATTTTGCCAAAATATGTTTTAGTGTATAAGCTGGGAAACAGCAGATACACCCTACTGAAAATTACTGTTGGATTTGGAACAGTCAAAACATTCCTTGGCTTTGTTCAGCATGAAGAAGGACAGCAACCAAGGAACAGCAAAAGATGCAAACAACTAGTAGCAAATAAATCTTGCTCCAAATGAAGTGTACATTCAAAACACCAAACATCATGCCAAACCCAGGGGAATAGCAAGGGTGCATCTTTTGCCAAGAAGTGAACCAACAGCACTGCTTTTCCGAAAAAAAAGCTGCTCAAAATTACTTTAAAAATTGTATTTATCTAACCTGATCCCGATTTCTTTTCCTGTAACAGCTAGAGTACAGGTCTAGGACAAAAACCATCAGCTTGCTACAACTATACTGAAATGGTTGAAAGTTTGAACTAAGAACTTACCGGGGAAAGACACATGATGTTACTTCCTTGAACTCACTTAGGTCCTAATTTAACATTAAACCGGAAGATAAAATCCAAGTCAGTGAACTGTTTACAGTCTCAGGAGGACAGAGAGCAGTAGCTACAATTATCCAAACAGCCTCTAAAAGTGAGCTACAGTAATTGAATTCTCACTGTAAGAGATGTATTTGTCAGCATTACCATAGAAACCACCTGCAATTACATAGAACTACACACTACGTGTTTCTGATTTGTCTGTCATTAGTAATAAAACATTCTCTCACTACCAACACCTTATCCTGTTTTATACCCTAGGCTACTTCTGATTTCAGCCCAGTTAACAGCTCTTAAATGCTCCCAGCATTTTCTATTTCAGTGTAATGACTGCCTACAGGTTTAGATCTCTCAAGGGTCAAAAATACAGGAACTACTGACAATTGCTAACATTCCAACTTTCTAACTGGTCACAAACTTCTTTTTCACATCTTATGATCAAGTCTTTCCCCAAACACCCACAAGCCCTTTAAGACTGCAAGTAACAGTGTCATGTAAGCCATCCTTCCAATGAGACCTTTGGCTTCCTCAGACAATGTTTTTGGTGCCAACACACCGCAATTGTCCAGTCATGAACTGTTAGACAGCCCTGCTGCAGTCAAAGTGTGCTCTCTCCAATTATTCTAACATTATACTTCTTCACCTCAGGGAACATCATCCTGCTACAAGACTGCTTATCATTTTAGAAAGTGTACTATATTCTTTAAAAACACACATTCCCGTTTTGTAAACTACAATAACATGTCAGTCAGTTAAATACACCTGACATAAGCAAAAAACCACAATTCTACCATCTGATTTGAAAATTTTAAAAATGCAAAGGAGAGCAATCCAACTAAACTTTCTACATAAATATTTATGACAATAAGGCAGTAGCCCAGAAGTACCAAACAGATTTTTTAAAAAATACTTTTCTACAGTTGTTCGCAGGCTGACCAATTCTTCCATTCAGAAGAAAGTGTGGAGATAATACTAAAAGACAAATGCATTAAGGCATTTATTTCATCATCTGAACATTCAAAAGATTACTCACATCAGGTAAGGGGCAATAGAACTGATGTATGGTGTGCATAACATCCAACAGCATGTTGTGCCCAATAACAAGCTTGCCCTGTGAAAATAACATTAAAGGTCTGTTACATTTCCAGTCCTGGCCATGGCAAAGGCCCATGGAAAATCCCTATCCCAGATGCCAGCCAAGGGCACATGGGAACAAGTACACATCAAACCTCCCCAGTTGCTCTCTGCCTGCCCCACATACTCCTTCATTCTCTTAGAGCAGCCACTCATTTTCTTCTACTGCCACCCATTTATCACAGGCTTTCACAGCAGATTCTTATGTCAAGAAGATGCACTAGAACAGCTATTTACAACTTGGCTTCCAAATGTAATCTATTTAAGATTGAAGTCAAGGTATTTCTCAGTCTATTACCTTTCAGTTTACTTATGCAGCAACACACAATATACTCCTTATGGTTATAATATACAATAGTTATTAAGGGCATGGTCTGGCTTCTCACAGTGCATAACCTTTCATGCCAGATGAGCAAGCTCTTTCGAAAAGCTCAAGCAGTTTTTTAAATGTTAACTTTGATTCATTTGACATGATAATAGTCCTATTTTGACAGCCTTTAACTGCCAAGAAAAAAAAAGGAAAAAAACTCCATGATCTTTTCAGAACAGAGAAAAAAATCACCAAAGCTTATTTACATAAGAGCCCTAAAAACTTGCTATTCTTGACTCTTACAGAAAGATTCTTCACTCTATTCTTTAGTTCGAGCTTACTTACCTACTGCACTCAACCACTGTAAAACATGAAACAACATTAACTTAAAATGTCACTTCTACTTTATCTTCTCCTCCAAAATGTAACAGCAAAAGAATCCTTTCTTTGAATTATCTTTTCTTACAAACAAAGGTAGGTTAAAAATCACATTAACTTACAGAATTAGCAATGGCATGGACAACTCTGGAAAATCCTACAGCATCATTCAATTCTTCCTGTAAGCAAAGATTCTGACATTAGTGAGACATAAATACAAATATTGCCACAACTGTACCTGCAAACTTGCCTCAAACTGTTTGTCAGACATAGCCAAGAACAGACCATGAAGGAAATATCAATATTTGGAAAACACAAGAGGTTAAAGCAGGATACTGCTCACAGAATTTCCATTTTTATATGTAGCTCTAGTCCCCTGTCAAGTAGGATGAGTCACAAGCTGCTGTCCTGGGATGCCCCTGGCCAGATGCCAAGCAACCACTCTACCCTCACCCAAAATTCAAAGACAGACAATAAGATTTGTGAATAAGGATAATAAGAGCCCATACCCTCCAGCCTCCTTGCTTCTGAGGGAAGGTGGGAAGGAAAGCCTTGACACTGTGCAAGTGCTGTTGAGCAGCAGACAAAACACATGGATGGTATCACTAGTGTTTTAGCCACAAAGAAAAGCACAGCAAAATACAGGCTGCTACAAAGAAGGGTAACTTCACCCCAACCAGAGCAGTATCAGCTGCAGACAGTTCATTGTCAGCACATTATCTCCAATAGTGCTCAGCAGCTATGACACTGCAAACAGCTCAGAAGGTAAAACTAACCTACATATTTTCAGCTGTACTTTTTACATATATTGATACATATGTAACAGGTTGAATCCTGATTGACACTCATATTAAATCAGACCATAATTTTATGCTAACAGAGATTGAGGAAGAAACATTCTTCTTTATTTATATAAACAAAAACAAGGAGAAACATTAAAATGTGCGACTCACATTATGTAACACTGTAGTTGTATAAACTGACTTTTGATTAATTTGGGGGGGTTCTGACAGCACAAACTGTTCTGTAACAGATTTTTCTTTTTCAGGTCTTTGGAAGCAATTTCTGCCTTGTGTTATTTGTCTTTATTCAACCAGAACTGAAATTCAATAAAAATATTCACTGTTCCTTTAGTTCAGCTCTAAATGTTGCTAGTTTGAGCAAGTAATACCCCCACTAAAAACACTTCAGAAAACCCTACTGTAGTAGTAAATTGCTCCTGACCTGCCTTCTGGAAAAAGAGATGTCACATTAGTTAATGGCTCTTCAGATATCTCTTTCCCTCTTAAAAGGCTTTCTGCACAGAAGTATTATCTGCTCCACCCAAACTGATTTTATCTTGATATATGAAAGCACAAACCACAGGAGTTTGATCAGGAACTCCCACAGTTCAAGTCTTATGACCTCCTAAAATTTCCATCACTCAGTAAGCAAAATAGAAGTCTAATAAACAGTGAGTGTCTGAATACACCAGGCGTGACCAGCCTGTTACCACAGCAGTAGTGGACAGCGTGGCTCTATTGAGGAATGGCACATTCACTGCACAGGACACTAACTCAGACAACCATGAGCAAGCAAGCTTTGTGATATAAGGGGAGACTGTGAATCCAAACTGTGTAACAACTCACTCAAGAGTTTCTGCAAGAAACTGATGTTTCTTCTTACAGGGCCACATTTCTGGGAGAGCGGAGATTCACAAAAGGAGGTGGTCACTACTCCAGAATACTCATTCAGTATTCCACAAATTCTGATTTTTAAAATGTTTTTAGATTGCCTTGCAACTTTTTGCTCTGTTGCAAAGTCTAAGTTATCTGGTAGAATTTAGAAAATCAAATTCAGCCAGCCACAGCAAACCAAAGGGAAACAATACCAAACCTTAGCCTGCATTTTTGCATTGCTGATTGATATTGGAGATTCTCACTCTTCCTCTCTCACATAAACGAATGGAATTGAATTTATTTACCTGTTCTTTTGCTTGTTTCTGCTGCTCTCTTCTTTTTCGTTCCTCTTCATCTACCTTAGTAATAACAATATACCTCTCCTTCTAAAAAAAAAAAAATATATAGTTTGAGGAATCACTCTTGAGAAGTTCAGATTTAAGGTTGCTGCAAGTTTCTGTAAATTTACATTGTAAAGAAAGCTGTCATACCTCAGCACCAGTTACCTGGCAACACAGCTGTTTCTATTGTGGGCACATTATCATCTACTCCCAGAAGCCTATTTTAGAAAGCTGTATTTGCTTCATCCACCAAGCCTAATTTTCCCTAAACCTGCTTTTTACTTCTCAAAAAAGATTATCAGCATTTCTTTGTAAATAGTTTGTTTCAAATACTTTTTGAAGCAGAGATCTATGCTGGGAAGTGAGGACACAGCACAAGATGCTGATGGTTTTCCTCTAAGATCACAACCTGCTTTTCACTGATACTAAACACCAGATCCACTGTATTTTAAAACACTTTTTAATATCTGTTTAAAAAGTAAGATTAAGCCACAGAAATACATGCCCACATTCCATATGTTGGTCAGATAGAAACTAGTTCACTGTGTTCAATTTAAAATGCTTTGAATTTGCGTAAGAAAGCTCAAGTTTGTTCTAAAAATCAGGAGAGATGATGAAACTGAGAAATACAATTTCCTTTCAACAGAACAAATGTTGGAGGCAGTAACAGGCCTAGTTACCTTATCTGACTCCAGAGTTTCCACGTGGATACCTTTCGGATACCTACATGAAAACAAATTAAACGTAAATATTAATAGCTATTCACTTGGCATTTAGCATAGTGAAGCCACAACAGTAATTCAGTAATTTCATGTTTCATTATTTCTATAAGTCTCAGGTGTAAAATAATTACTACAGGTTTATTTTTAATTTTAATAATGCAAAATCTGAAGCAATAGGCTAGCTTAATTGGCCTCCTCACATTACCTAACAGTAACTGGCACTTACACAATTTCCCATGCTATCTTGTGGAACCTATAATTTCTTATTTAGGTGATATTAAGTAAACATCATCTAGATATTTCATCACAATCTAGAATCTTTGCTTTCAAGAAATCCAAAACAAGAATGCTCTCATTTAATTGCAACCCCAAGATAGCTTCTTTGAAGACCGCATCTCTTTAATACATCACTTATTTGAGGACTTATTAACAACCCTGAACTTTCTGCTAACAGTAGATTTTAGTAGGAATTATTAACTCAAATGTCATCACCTCTGCAACAGGGTTGCATCACACCACTACAACCACATTTAATTTCCAAAATAACACCACACACAGAGCCATAGAGCTTCATGTTGATAGCAAAAGTAAGAGAATATTGCCTTTTCCTCCTTAACCAGTAGGAATTACTCTCATAATCTCATTATAATAAACTAACTACAACTCTGCAACCACTTCAGAACCAGCAAGTTTCCTTACCCTCTGGCTACTCCTAAAATTAGTACTGGAGAGCACACTCCAAACACTGTTGTGTCCTTTCCACCCTGACTCCTCACACAGTTTTGAGCCTTCATCTCCCTTGCCAAGCATGCCACAAACCTTGGATGCATCAAAACACTGATGCACAAGAGAATACTTCAAAAGAGAAGAGGATCTGTGAGGAGGTCAGGACATAAAGGCAATCAATAACTTCGTTCTTCTGCTTTAATTAGCTCCATGCTTCCTTCACAGCTTGGCTTTCTCTCTCCAATACACACACACAGTGTACACAGCTGTTCTCACATAAAGCAACACTGCTGAACGTTCAAAAAACACAACTCAAGAACACATTCTTTCATCCACTCAAAGAAGATGCAAGGATAAGTGTCAGACTTTAGGCATAAAACTACATGCTACAGGAAGCTATAGATATGTTTAAAAAATGACACTGAGAAATGGCTGAAAACACATCTGCTTTTTTTCAGATTAGTTCTCGAGCTCACTTCTTCAGATTCCGTTTTCTAGAGAGAAGCTTTATTTTATCTGCTTCCAGTGTAAGTAACAGAATGCCAGATTCAGTGCTGCAACACTGAATTAACTAAGCATACAAAAAAAGACTTGCATATTTTCCACATCTTACTACCACAGTCAGAACAGTGAAAATCTCATTCTAAAGCCTTGGAGTTTCTCCCAAGGCCTTAAGAGATACATTTTGGCAATATACTAAGTTGTAGTGTATATATATATATATATATAAAATATGTGTATACACTCTCTATATATACTACATATATATAATATATATACTAAGAAGTGCTCATGCTTGGCATTCAACAGAAAACTATAACCATACCAGTACCTACTATAGAACTGCTATTTTTTCAGGTAAAGCAAACAATCTGTATAAGCACATGCACTTTCTGCTCACTAAAAACCTAGCATGCTGCATTTGTTACATAATTCTAGGCTGCACTGGTCTATTCAGAGATTTTACATAGAATAAAACAAATACTAGCTTTAATATCTAAATGAATCATCACAAATAATTTTAATGCAATTAATCTTCAGAACATTATAGAAGCCTTCTTTAATGGAAAAATAAAGTCTAAATCACTCCAAGGTAAAGTAGATATATCTTACCCAGATTTCTTATCAAAAGTACTAAAAATATACAGTAAGGCAGTATTACCAGTAACTTACTTCCAGCTCAAGGTCTGATAAATTAATTTCCTTTGAAATCTAAAACCAAAAGAAAATCATGTTACTAATAATCCTTTCACAGAGTGTCTCCTAGGAATGATTTCCAGTTTAAGCAGACTCTAAGTGTTCATTTGTAGAAATATTTTTAAAGCAAGAGTCACTGCTAGCAGAACTGAAGGCTAGGAAGAGATTTACTGCATTCTCATGTTCAGCTGCCAAACTGTAAAGTCATTTACACCATGTTTTAAAGTTACCCACATATCTTCTCATCAGAGAGTATTCATGATCACTCAATTTAGATACAGTGATGGTACCTTATCCCCAGCTTCACCATGTTCTGCTATTTCCAAATTAATTTTTAAAAAAGAATTTAAAACAATCATATTCTCCAAATACCTAGTTTCCAAAGCTAAATAGATTTTTGGGAAAGAAGCCAACTAAAAACAGTCACACACTGCCAACTGTGAACAACCAATACCACAATAGAGTCAAAAAGTTTCTTTATAAAGTGCATCTCCAAGGTTTCTGGATCACTTCAGCAGTAACAAGAGGCAGCTCACACACATAAGATATTTCTTGGTTATACTTAAATATTTTGCCACTACACTGAAGAAGTTACAGCTTAAATAAATTACAATACCCGTATACCTCACCACATTTTCTCAACATTCAAAAATTAGTCAAATGTAGATTTTGCTAGTTAACCCAAGTAAACATATTCTTCCCTGTCACTCTCCTATTTCTACATGGCCAAACTAAAAAAAAAAAATTTAGAAGAAATGCAATTTCAGAAACTGACCCTGTACATGGCTCCAGTTCCAAACTTTCACTTTCTTCATTCTTTAGTAAGTCTTCTATCTGTTCCCTGGAAGAAACAGATTATTCGCTTCTATATCTACTACTTTATTTTTTGGAAGTTTTTAGCTTTCTCCAAAAGACAAGAATATGCTTCATAACAAAAAGAGCAGCATTTTACAAACAGTGAACTAATATAAATGGTTTCAACATGTGAAGACATCACTACTATTCACATTTTAGTTTTAGCAACATCAGAGGATACTAAACAGTGTTACTTACACTACTTTCTCTACAAATTTTTTCTGATCTTCAGGAATTGTTACAGGACACTTTGTGGAATTAGGAGAAATGTATGACAGAGATCCTGCACCATTGGCTTGAGAACGTTTTTCATCATACTGTTCCCTTAGCTGTCTCTCCTCTTCCTGATTTAAATATGGAATTCCTAACAAAAAAAGTAAAAGCTCATCATAATTAGAGAATAATTAGGGATGCACAGGGATTCAAGCATTTGCCTCTATTACACCCCTGCAGGCTGAAAGCAAACCCTTCCCTTTCAATGATCTGCTGCAGATGTGTGTGTCTGTCCGGCCTCCCAGCAGAGCCTCCCCTGCACAAGGAACGAGCCCCAGCACGGCAGAGCTGCAGGTCACAACCACAAAAGCCCTGAGCACTGCTCTCCTTGCTCTATGCATCAGCACACAGCAGCATGACAGACTGCAGCAGCCCCAGTCACAGGGCTCTGGGATCCCTTTCCTAGCCATTCCTACCGAAGTTTACACAGCTCCACACCTCATTACTCTCTATTCACGCTTTGCCTCCATACAAAAAAAACCAAACAACCAAGCTCTCATGTTACTGGGAATTCTGTTCTGCTGAACTATGCAATGAATTTTTGGAAAGGGAGTTACCATCAGCACAGTTACAGTAGACTGGATAAGAATAATTCAAGAACTTCATTATGTGTTAAGACAGTATCATGTATGGTTAGCCTTTTTGCTTTTGCAGAAAACAATTAAAGGTGTCATCATAAATTTTGCAGACATTAAAAGAAATTGAAAACAAACCAAAGTAACTCACCATTGCGAAAAACTTTATTAAAATCAAATCCCTGGTTTGCTAAAAAATCTATACTTGAACTCTGCAACAAGAGAAAAAGGCTTTACAATTGGCAAAAGTAGCTGTGGCATCAGTTATTTTCACACTTTTTAAGAAATTATACAAAGTCCAAAGCCAAGAACAACCAAGTCTGTGTCACTAAAGAAGGCACTGAGAGTTCAGGCTATGCTACTTTTCTTATTGATTTTCAACTTCCATAATATAGACGAACCATGAGTATGGTAAGGGATAAAGATGAAAGAACAAGCTATATGGAGATAAAAAACTAAAGAAAGCAAAATGTGGTTCAGGAGAATAAATCTGAGACCATAAAAATGTTGGCAATAGTCTAAGAAGCAGTGAAAGCAAGATAAGCAAATGAGAATAAAGGATTAAAAAAGCAATGAAACTGGAAGTTCAAAGAGAAAGGGGGAAAAAATAGAATTATCTTTCCAAGTCTGGAACATTATCTGAAATTCCAGAATTCACACAATGTAATGCATAACAAGATTTAAAAACTGAAGTCAAGGATATTCCCTTAAAGGTCCCACTTTTGGGATTGTTCTTAACTAATGCTTATTTATTTTATAAGAAAAAAAAAAAAAAACAGCCCAGAAACTGACATTCTTCTACCTTTTAAGCTAAAGTTTGTTTCAGGTATACCTTAATCAAATAAAATTAAACTGTTTTTCTACTAACCTGACAGACAAACTTGACATCTGGTGAATTTCTGTTAAAGGGTTTTGGAAAAATATAGAAATTAAATGACTTCATAATATACCTGTAGAAAAGATGAGTTACATGTCAATACGGCTTATCAGTATTACTTTAGAAAATCCTCAATTAAGAAAACAAGAAATAAGAGAGTAACATACTTTTCTTCTGTCTCATCATATTTAAAAGTGCAAAGGCCAAACTGAAAGAGCAAAAAATCCATGGAATGCTGGAAAGGAAAGAAAAATTTTGCATGAGAATAAAACATACACACATTTAAAAATTACCAGGTTACACCCACATATGATTTCTCTCCATTTCAAAATTAAGTAAAGCGAATCGTCTTAACCAATGTTCATTTTGCCGGTAATTTTAAGGTTAACACACCAGAGTTGTTCTGCTAGTTTTCATCCCCATTTAATCATCTTACTATTGGCCCAAGATGACTTCAATATGCATTTCCATTCCACAAAGAGACAAGAACTGAGGGAAGTTCCATCTTTCTTTCCTCCTGTTGGTCACACAAATGAAATGCTGCACCAAAAGCAGCTTCAGTTTTCATTTTAAACACATTACCTTTTTAAGTTTCTGATACCTTTCTTCTGGAGTGTCAAAGCCATTTGTTAATGCACTAACTGAAGGCCCATCACTGATCCCTGAAAAAGTAGATTGGTAAGATTTTCAAAATTAACCACAACAAAGAAATGCAACACCTGGCAATTTGAGAAAAATGCTTTCACTTGAAGTATTTATTACAATTATTTAATTTGAGAAAAATACTACAGCAATAAGCCACTCATTTTAATAGTGGTGTTCTAGAAGTAGTGGAGAGAAGTAAAGCTCTTCAGCAAAAGCTCGGTCATTCTGGCTCCTATTCAACATGTCAGTAGCAGGCTAATACTTATCAGTACCCTAATGTAAATGGGCTTCACAACACAATACAGGAACAAAGGCAAACTAAAAATGGGAAGAGCATTGCCCAGAGATTTATTGAATAACTTAGTCACCTTAAGCAATATGCAACATCTGTACTTCCACAAACACCCCATATAACAAAAGTTAGTCTCATCAGTGAACTGAACTGTGCATCCCAAAAGCGAACTACCTGCTAAAGCTTCTCTCTGCTGCATATACCCTCAGGGCTTCACAAGCACACGTGCCCTTAGCGCTGCCTTTCACTGTCCAAACACTCGCAGGATCTCCCTCACTTATCCCAATCCACTGCTCTCATGGCACACATACGACCTGGTTTTACCTTGAGCTGCAACAACTATCAGTTGTCATGTTGAAAGATTACTTTGGGAGCACAAGCAGCGTAAGCATGGCATGCATCTATGACCAAAGCCTTGCTATCGCACGTGTAATAAGTGGTTTAATCGCTTTGTGGTAGCCTCAGCTTTAGCTGTTTCAAGCCAACTCTGAGATACATCACAGGACCGAACTCGGGCACCGAGGTCAAACCACCCCCAGTCAGAGACTGTCAACAGCTCACAATGACAAAAGAGGGGCAACTGTACCTGAAAACTCTCCGTCGATGGCCAGGAAGTCCGACTCTTCAATGGCTTCATACACTTTATTTAGGTTATCCTTAAAGTCTGCGGGTAAAGGGTTAAAACACACTTGAGACTACGAACGGCAGCCCGGCGCCCCTCGGGCGGGCAGGGCCTGCCCGCCGCCCGCTCAGCCTCGGGGCCGCGCCTCACGCTCAGGGCTGCGCCTCAGGGGTGAGCGGGGGAATGGGGACCCCTTCGCCATGAAGGAGAGGCTGAGGCCGGAGCGGCCGCCCGCCCACGGCAGGGACGCCGGGACACCGAGACAGCTCAGCGCCAGCGGCGCAGAGCTCAGGACGCAGGGCCGGGGGGTCACTCACTGCTCCTGATCACCTCCATCCCGCGCCCCCGCCCGCCGAGCTCGGCCCGGCACCGCCCGGCACCGCCCGCCGCCGCCGCCGAGCGCTTCCGGGGCCGCCCCGCGCGCCGCACGTGAGCGCGCACGTGAGCCCCGCGCCGCCGCCATTTCCTACCGGGGCGGAGCCCTCAGGGCTGCGCCGCCGTACCCACCGCGGGCTGGAACGGCGCCTGCCGCAGCCTGCCGTGTGCTCTGAGCGGGCCGCGGGGATGGAAGTCTCACCCAGCCGCGGTTCTGTGGGGTGTGGTGGAGTGTCGTGGATGTGGGCCTCGCCCTGAAAGCCCGAAATACGCAACTGGCACCAGCAAGGAAGAAGGCATGGGACTCTTCCTAGGAGACACCAGGAGGATGGTGGAGAACTGCTAGCGACCATGCCTTAGTGGTGATAATTCTAGGGGAAGTGGAGGTGGTGCCGCATTACAGAAGGAGCGTTTTCCTGTTACGAGGGACATTCTGAGAGCCGCGGTAGAAGAGCAGCGCGCAGCAGGATGGGCCCGCAGCAGCGCTGTGCGAGGCAGAGCTGCCCCGGAGAGAAGGTGCTGCACAGGGGCAGAGGGCAGGAGCTGTGGAGTTCAGCGTTTGTGCTGCAGGCTGGAATTCACACGGCTCATAAAGCATCTTTTTCAAAATTCCAGCAGAATGAAAACAGATGAAAAATTCTCCACAAATTGTTGGGTGTAATTTCTGCATACAGAAAAGGATAAATAATTATGCGGGATGTAGTGGAGAGAGTTTTATAAACTGGAACAAAAAGGCCATGGTTTTACATCATTCAAGTCTGCTGCACAGACTATCAAACACTTGTATGCTCTTTTACTTTACTGAACGTTGAATGTGAAACTAAGTGAAACGGCACAAAAAAGTAGTAAAAAACTATAATCTCGAACAAGTATTCTGGGCTGCATTTTCACCTTGCATACCAAGGTAGATCTAGATGCACTTCGTCAGATCTAGAAGAGGTTGAATTCTTTCAGGCTAGAGTAGTTTAAAGATCTGCTGATTGGTTCTCTGGGGAAAAATGGATAATATGAGAGAAAAAACAATGAGAGATTTATTTTGTTTCTTGTAATAAGCTGGGATAATTAATTGAAATGTCATTTGAAGTGGACTTGTAGTTTGTATCAAACTGAAACAAAATCTTAAAAGAAAATGTTACTGTGTTGAACAGTTTAAAAAATACATCATAGAGGTATACTTTAAAAATTCACAATATCAATTAGGTTGGAAAAAACCTCTGAGATCATTGAGTCCCATCTGTGACCAAACACCACCATATCATTTCGACCATGGCACTCAGTGCTGTGTCCAGTCCATAAACACCTCCAGGGACGGTGATTCCACCACCTCACTGTGCAGCCCTTCCAATATCTGATCACCCTTTCCTAATGCCCAACCTAAACCTGCCCTGGTGCAGAGTAAAGCTTAAGTCTTGTCACTTGTTCCCTGGGAAAAGAGGTCCATCCCCACCTGGCTACAGCCTCCTGTCAGGGTGTTGTAGAGAGTGAATCAAATAGTTTTGGACTGGTCAAAAAGAATTCCAGTAAGGGAACAGAGACTGATAGAAGCAGTTGTGCATGTGTGGAGAGATGGACTCTTATATGATAAGAATAGTCTCTGTGCAGGATGCATTAGCACTGCAATCAAACTAGCACCTGAAAATCTTACTTCTAATTATACCTCGAATTTTTACTGTACAATCAACCTTGAATAGTTTCTGCGAAGGAAGGCTAACTGGCTGCGTAGGGTACAGTAAACAGGCGTACCTCAGTTCTCACGAATATAGAAGTGTATATTCCCAGAAATGGGAGTGTAGCGGTGCTGGTGTCCGGTGATTTTAAACGCTTGGAATAAAGAGGCGAGCGGCGGCGCTGGCCGGCGCCGTGCGGAGGGAGGAGCGGCGCTGGCGGCGCTCGCGGGGCGGAAGCGGCGGGGCGGGCCCGGCCCCTCCTCGGCCCCTCCTCGGCCCGGGGCGCTGCGGGCTGCGGGCTGGGGCCGGCCGGGCAGGGACCCCGCGCCGGCCGTGCTGTGCCGCAGCAGGCTGCGGCTGGGAAGAGACAGGAGGGGAGCTAGGAATCATTCTGCTGCTGGCTCTTACTTGGTGCTGACTGAGCGGTGAAATATTTTTCCGGTATTTTCCACAGAAATCCTCATGCCTCTGTCTTTCAGGAAAACTAGAAGAATGTTTTTAGGTGCAAAATCTTCTTTATTTTTCCTCTTACAAGTGCTGTTTCAGGTTTTAGAAAGCTAACAGCCTGTGCTTTGCCATGGAAATAGATGTTTCAAAGTCTAAGGATTCTAATTTCACTATCGGTTTCTGTTTTTGAACTTGTGCTTTTTTTTCATAATTTCTGTTCTTTATCTGCTTGTGTGCTTACCTCTTCGTGCTTGATCTGCATGGAAAATTGGTAAGTTAGTAGTAAGCAGGAGCCACAAGGTGGATAGTGCAATCGTATTTTGGTTCGGTAGTGTACGAGGAGAAAATTTTCTAGTTCTTGGTATTTTCTAGCGTATCATGAGTGAATGATCTGGATCAGTGTTTTTCTCAAGAAACTATGTACTGCTGTTTAAGAGAATGGAGTAGGAACATCAAACAAATACATTTTTTGTAAGCTTGGAACAATTTTAAACTCTTACCTGTGTGTTTTCTGTAATACTAACAAAGTAACTACAAGTAAAGTTAATGTGGAGTTTAGACCTTTGCTGAGAAGGTGTGCAGATCAATCCCTTATGATTCTGAAGCATATGGCTTGGTGGATCAAACTTTTATTTTTTTTAACATTCCCCAGCAATGTCTAGCATTGACCTCTATTAGTAGTGTTTTATTCCATATGGTTGGAAAGAAGAGGGATGAAGTAAATTAGATCATTATGTTATACTGGTGTTTTATTTTTGTATCCTCTGATGATACTTTTTAATGATATTTTCTTTGACTGGTTTCTTATACTAAAACCTTGATTAAAGCTACTGTCAGAAGTCATGTGAATCATAGTGAATTATTTTGTTTCACTTTCATGTATTTTATAACACGGGAGAAGAAAGCATAGGGAGATTGAGCCTAGCTGTTTCCATCTAGAATCTGGTTTTGATTGTAGTTGGCAATGAATATATTGTTGAAAAAGTTGATCATGTTTCTTTATGGGGAGGGATGAGTTACTTCAAAAATTTAAAACCATCCGTGTCAAAAGCAGTGCAATGATAAATCACATTGCTTACAATTCTAAGCTTCCAAAATAGCTGTTTTCATGTTGCTTTGCAGAAGTAGTGCCTTATCTGGTTTGAAGATCTAAGAGAGCATTCGGTTTGTTTAAGGCATAAAGGAAAATGGAAGAAGGTGAGACTTTACCAGGGGAAACAGAGAGGGCAAAAGTTGAACCGTGTGCTACTCCCGGCCTGGGTCGGCAGATATCAGTCAGTGAGTTCCTCTGCCACTGCTGCTACGACATCCTGATCAATCCCACCACCCTGAACTGTGGACACAGCTTCTGTAGGCACTGCTTGGCCTTGTGGTGGGTGTCGTCCAAGAAGAATGAATGCCCTGAATGCAGAGAAAAATGGGAAGGATTCCCCAAAGTCAACATCCTCCTCAGGTGAGTGAACTATTTTGTGAATGTCTTTTTTACATAAATGAAACCACAGAAATTAGTTTCTGGTTTCTTGAGTTTGCTGCAGATATTCTTAGATAATTGGTAATCTGAACTGTCACAAAGACATTTAAATCCCAAAGACTTTCAGCTTGTGCACTTGTCATGGACTGTTCAAGCACATGGAATTAAGGGTGGGTTGGTTGGTTTTGTTTTGAGGGAAGGGGTTTGTTTAGGGGGAGGGCTTTCTCCCCCTTCTACATTTTCTGGGAGATGGAGAGGCAGGATCCTCAGTCTTCTAATATAGCTAGTTGTTTATAATAATTCTAAGTTAGATTGATCTTGGTTAATTGTGTAGTAATTTCTGTAATAGGAATTATTTATTGGAAAAATTGTGATCATATTGCAGAACAAAGCTAAAAACATCTACTTGCTATCTTGAATTACTTGCAGGTTGTTTTGTTAATAATATTTTATCTGGGGTTAATAACATTTAAATAAATAAATGGTAGGATTGATGGTAGGTTTTTATGATATCTTTTGTTTAGCTTTTTTTAATAATTGAGGCTTGCCAATGTATTACAGGATTCTAATTTTGCATAAGAAATAACTTGGGAGTTATGTGGTATTTTAGCTTCAGAAGTTAAGGAAAATGTTGTTTGACAGTGATAAAATTCTAAGTTTACCAAGCTTTAATAACTTTTTTTTCTTGTTTTTAAAGATGATAGTCTTTAGTAAAGGCTGTAAAACAAAAATCCAAAAATTACTCCCTTTTCTGAATATTAAGCCTCAATGGTTGCAGTATAATGACAAATATTTTTCCTATTAGGGATGTTATTGAAAAGCTGTTTTCTGATGCCATTGAACAAAGAAAAGAAGATATTCGACAGAACAGTGATGTAGCACGCAGCTTAGCAACTTTCCAAAAGCATGGGAACGACCAGATGCCTACAGTTTCAAACACAGGAAGAATTAATCCTCGAGGAGGGTTTTTCTCAGGTGTTCTGACAGCTTTAACTTGTGTAGCAGTAAGTTTCATCTGGTTGTTTTCCGTATTTGCTTCCTTAAGCATGCAATCAAATATTCTTAAATGTACATGCACAGAAGAAACATTGTCAGCACATTGTCTTTCTTAAAACCTGAATGTTCTAGACTTCCATGAAATGGAAGACTATGTGTCGAGCCTCTTACTGTGTGTTTATTTATATCATTCATGTATTTGCTTTGCAAGTAAAGTATCCTTATAATCTACCTGTAGGTAGTTCTACTTGGCTATCACTGGAGTAGCAGAGAATTTGAAGATGATCTTCTTGTCCACAAGCCTGTTGCCAAGTGGACTGCTGAGGAAGTGATACTCTGGCTGGAGCAGCTGGGCCCGTGGGCTTCACATTACAAAGAAAGATTTTTACTGGAGAAAGTAAATGGAAGGTGAGAGGCCTGGTGGTCAAGGACAACTGTTATGTGATTGGACTACTGACAGTCATTGGGGTGGCTTATTGTGAAATGACCATACTGTGTTACATGGATTGTGGGAATAATCTGTTGATGTATCAGAATAAATTTCAGAAGTTTTTACAATTGCTGTTGAAAACTTTCAGTAGTAGATACTTAGCAAGCTACCTGAACATATTCTAAGAACTTCTTAAAATGCTGACAATGCAGACTGAAATTATACCAAGAGTAAAATTCTACTGATGTATTATCCACCCTTGCACCTTTTATTTCTTGTGGAAATAAGCATGTGCTATATGCATATGCATTCCACCCAAGAGCCATGCTGAAAGCAGGCAAGAGGAAACTGGAAAAGAAGGAAATTTAAAACCCAGGCTTTGAGATGCAGTTGGTGTAGAACACTTGATATGCAATGTAATGATGATCTTTTCAAGTCCCAAAGTTTGCCAGCCCAAAGTATTCTCTGATTCTTTAACCCAAAAGATGCTACCTTGTTTCAATATGCAGTTGTGTATTTGTTAGTCATCTTTTTTGGTGAATAGGCACTGTTTACCTACTTCTATTCTTCTGCTTTTGTAGACTGCTCCTAACACTGACTGAAGAGGATTTCACCAAAGAACCCTACAGTGTAGAGAACAGTAACCATAGGAGAGCTATTATGGCAGAACTGGAATGTGTGAAAACTTTAGGTGTTAAACCACCACAGAACCTTTGGGAATACAAGGTAAATTTTATATTAAGTGTGTCATGTCATGTATATTAATTCTTTTTAAAGTAATACATTTAAAAGAAGATTCTCTTAAAACCAGGAGGGGTGTTAAAGTAGTGGAATTACCTGTGTAAAAATTGCTCAGTGTAATGACGTGTTGTATTTGAAAAACAGCCCTTTGAAAAATGATTGTCAGAAAATCTAAGAACTGGTATGTCCCTTTCATTTTACTTTTTTACTGATTGAGACTTAATAATTTGATACCTTTTAGGCCGTAAACCCAGGAAAATCACTCTTTCTTCTGTATGCATTGAAGAGTTCTCCAAGACTCAGTATGTTATACCTATATTTGTTTGATTATGCAGAAGCTTTCCTACCTTTCATCCACACAATTTGTCCTATGCAAGAAGACAAGTATGAAGATACTGTCACAAAACTGCTTGTACGTATTCAAAACATTAAATATGCTACTTGCTTTGGTTATAAGCATTTTAAGACTAGCAGTATAAAAACACATAATGTAATAATTCATCATTTCATCTCTTTACACTCTGACTTTAAAAACAACAGACCTACAGAGTAAGTGGCTCTTCAATTTTATTGTATGCAATCACTAGTGTTGCAACCATTACCTTTAATAAGATTGATTTTAGGCTTTTAAGACTTTAAATGTGTGAAACTGATTCTTCTGAAGTTCACATGACTACAGAAAGTGATGTTCTAATCTAATAGAAATTACTGCATTATAGTATTACCTACTAGCAAGTATAATAAAGATAAATTACTGCTTTCAGTGTATAAAAGCCCCAACTTTTCAACAAAAGACTAGTGGAAATAAGCCAGTATTAAGTAAGTTTAATATAAAATTGATTAACAGTCTCTTTATCCTAATTTACAGGACCTTAAAGATCCTTCTTGGAGGCAATGGAGAGAATTCACTGTAAAGTATTTATTTTTGCCGTACCAGCTGATAGCTGAATTTGCTTGGGATTGGCTAGATGTGCATTACTGGACATCAAGATTTATAATTGTAAATGCCATGTTGCTCTCTGTTCTGGAATTATTCTCCTTTTGGAGGCTGTGGTCAAGAAGAGAATTGAAGTAAGTGTTAAGCTTATGGAAGAGGGTAGGAAGTACACAGCATTGTAAACAGAAAGTAACAGCCTTACAATTTTACAGTTGCTCATTGAAATGAGTGTCTAACTCAAACTCTGAGGTTAATAATAACATAGGAATCTGCATTCTCACATGCTTGCTTTTGAATACCTTCTGTGCATGCTTCCACTGGTTTCTTAGAGGTGGTTTTACTTATCAGATGTTGCAAATGTGGAAACAGGAACAAGCATGTTCTTAACCACTGGGAGATACCAAACCTTACCGTGATAACTGCCTCTTGCGGTGCCTGGTATTAGCTGTCAGCTGAGAATAAATACATCAGAATTTTGTCATGATACAGTGTAGTTATTATGGGATGAGTCCTCAGAATCATAAATAAGCTCAGTTATACTGATACTAGTTCTGATAATTTATCAGAATTTCTGTTTTCTGTTACTACCTCAGTCTTAATTCAAGCCCATTAACATTGATAGCTGGTGTGATCTTTGGAAATGGTATGGGAGAAATTCTTGTTTTGGTGTGTACTGGGTTTTCCCTTTGCCAGCCGGTAGAAGGCAGAATGAGCCCAGATCAGCACAGGGAGCATGGGACAGCCTGAGGCAGAGCTGTGATGTGGCACTGGAACCTGCTGGGCTTCGGCGTCTGGGTGCACTAAAGAGTGCCTCTTTAAATCTGCTACTACTGGGTTTTAGGAAAGTTTTTCCTGGAGTGCAAAATGGTGTTTTTTACAAGTACCTGAGTAAGGGCTAAGTAATTCAAAGCTGTAGTACCTATTAGGTTTTCTTAGAGCTGGGTAAAAACAAACCAGAAAGTTCCTCTAAGCCTTTCCATTTCCTTTTTCACAGGACTATTCCTCAGAGAATGTGGAAACATTTCTGGAAAGTCTCAACCCAGGGACTTTTTGTTGCCATTTTTTGGCCTTTTATTCCTCAGTTTGTCTGCAATTGTTTGTTTTACTGGGCCTTGTATTTTAACCCAGTTATAAACATTGATCTTGTAGTTACGGAGATAAGGCGTCTGGAGACACAAGTGCAGTGATCGGCATTGAGCTGTTTAGCTTCTAAAAATGGACATTTTGGATAAACTTTGCTTTTCTTCTTTATGTATGTGGCAGTGAAAACAGTGGATTATGTTAATTTAAACATACGAAAAAGCTTTAAGGTAAGTTATCCTTAAACCAGCTGATTCCAAATTGGAGGATGAAGGAAAAAGGAATTTTCTGTTGGGGAAAAAAAAAAAGCACATTCCTCTATAGCCATGTAAAACTCATACAGTCATCTCTCCCAATCTGTACCAGATAAGTTTCTTTATGCTGTCCTGAGCATTCTGTGTATTTTCAAGCCTGCCTTAAAGTCAGTGTCTTTTGCACTGCTACAGTGATTTCTTTCTTTTTCTTTTTAAACTTAACATTTCATACCAGCTGTGTCTTCCTCAACTTCAGTTCGCCAAAGGAATGCCCTTCCTGGATAGGCTTGATGTTGAAAGAACTTCATTTATTTCAGTCTTCTTTACATGTAGCATTGTGACTGCCCTATACACAGTCTCACAGTAGAGTTTGTTCCAAAATTCCTGCAGTTGAAGGCAAAGACTACTTGAATTTTCTTGTGTTTTGTTAAATGTGATAATTACCATGGAAATTTTTTATTCAGCTCAGTTAGACTTCATCAATAGCTCCTTTCATTCTCTCTTCTTGAATTCTTTTGCTAATTTGTAAATTCTTAAATATCTCTTAAAGAGGATTATTAAGGAAAAGTGACCTGACACTGTAATTACTTAGGGCAATATAATGTATGTATCTGTGTCTGAGCAAATATTGACTGGAAAGTTATTTGCATTAAGCAGGATTGACATTTGTTAATGTATGTTCCTTTGACTGAATTGTACGATTCTTACTGAAAAGGTAAGATTTTTTTCAATAACTTTGTCCCCTTGCAGTCTGCATTGGTTTGTTGTTTTCTTGATTTCATTTGTATCAGTAATGTGAACTAAATTTGCCTGAATATTTTTCACGATTAAAGATGTCTCCTGAAATCTTCACTATTCCTATAGATAATTTGGCTTTTGATTTTTTTTTTTTTTTAAATATTGAAGTACATGTCATTAGCTTTGACTTGTGCAAACCTGCTCTTTAGCCCTGCATCTTTGAGTAAGTTGACGTTGGTGAAAGTAGACATAAAACACTCCTGGCTCTATAACTGTTAAAATCTGCAGGTAGAAAAACGTGTATTATTCATCAGTTCAGGGTACTGATTTCTCTTCCCAAAGGGTTAAAAATATCTGTGAAGTGATCCTAGCTAAAACCAGCTTTACATCCTGATGAGGTTTATATACTTCTGAGCTTCATAAACTCTTGCTGTGCAGGATCAAACACTTGTGAAAAAGCCAGTTGGTCCCAACAACTTCTACATTTTTTCATATTTCTGTTTTGGTGATGGTTTGCATTTGCATTTTTAAATCTGGCTCTAAAGTTCTAAGGATAGAATTTCCTCCCTGTGCTTACAGGAAATTCAGGGTGTACATAGAGTAAGGAGTTTGAGCCATATCAAATAAGCAGCTGTTTAGAAAACTCCTCTTGAAAAGTAAATGCTAGAAAAAACCTATTACATGATTCTTCAATGCAGGTAGCATTACTTCAGGTGAATGAAATTCAACACTTAAATTAGGCTTTGTAGTAAGTGTTTAATGTAGATGAGAGGGCTCTTTGTGCTGACACTGTCACTTCATGAACTTTTTCCAGTCAGTTGAAAGTTAACAAATGCTAAGGTCTGTTAGTCGAGAAGTTTGATTTGAAGGGGGGATAAAAAGTTCACAGTGAATAATATTATCAATCTGAATAATCTGTGAATCTGAATATAAACAAATATTAAGATTGTCAGTTACTCCTTAAGGTAATAAACTCAGATTTCTATTTAGTCAATAATTAATGCATGGGAGAAAGTAAAGGACAGGAAAAATGTTTACTTTTTTACATTTACATTTTGAGGTAGAGAGGCTGAGGTGGAATGAAAGAGTATCAAGAAGGGGGAAAATAATTTCTTGCCATTACTGTGGCCAAAAAAAAAAAAAAAGTAATTTTGGATTTAAATATATATAAGAGTTACGTATCTAATACCTACACAAAGGCTGAATCTCACCACACATAAAGTCTGGCCACAAAAGGTATTTTCTGTGGTAGGGAGCTTTAGAAAAACATTTGGCAGCTTCACGGTCACATTCACATGCCATTTTTTGACATTTATCTTCTAGTGAGTCTGAAAGAAAACACAGTAAATTTGATATTAGTCTTGAAGAAATTAAAAATCCCAAATGGAATACCAAAAATTGCTCCCTCATATTCCCTATTTGCAGTACAAATACCTTACATTTCAAGTGCAATAGGAACTTGCTGAGCTTTGGTAAGACTAAGAACCTGTGGAATAGCCAGTAGTCACAAATCTTGGCAGGTGAAAATACAACAGCCAGATAAAGACTTAAATACTGTTATAGTTTTTTAATAAAGGAACTGTGATAACTGATCTGTCTTTAGAAAGTGGTATGAGATCCTCCCTGCCTTCTCTCTTGCTCTAGTGAAATTCACTTTGGGAAGATAGTCCATTCCATACCCTTTATAATCTAGTATAGGATATAGCATTAAAAATAATATATGGGATAGACACATGGCATGCAAAGGTGTTCCATGTCCAGCCTAAATTGCCCACCTTTTTTTATTAAGGCATTCAGTAAGAAGTTAAAGTGCGTGATAAAATCCATGTCTTGTCCTGTTTGTTTTATAATTGTAGCGTTGTAACTTAACAGATTTCTTGGCATGAGTGTTCCTTCTTGGCATGAACATTTTCTTCTACAGCAATGTATTTTGGGTTCAGTGTGCCAGCCTGGAAGTGTGTGGTTTTTTCCTCTCTGTAACTGTCTGTAAACTGAAGAATCCTTAATTACATTTTGTCTGAGTGTTTACCATTTTAAAAGCTTAGCCAAATCACTGTTTGAGATTTGTCCAGGAGCAGAACAAGTGTTCAGTTTTGTGAATGAACTCAAATTCTGCCATGAAATTGAAGTGTTCTTAATGTGTATGTGTTTATGCTGCAACTAGCTGCCCTAAGAGCTACTCAATAGCACAGGTAGCATGAACAACATGATAGGATAAAAAATCAAAACACAGTAACTGAGAACTATTCCTTCTTCTGTTCTTCTTCTGGTATTGCTCCAGACTTTATCTTATCTGTGCTATGCCAGGGACTTGGTTTCCTGACATCTTGCTATCTTCCTGCCTCCTATCTTGGCCAGTATTTTGAATATTGTCAGGAGCAAAATCTTTACAGCCAAGTAAGGGTGGACTGTAACGTGATTAATCGGTGTGAGAGATAAGATGTTTTGTCCATCTGGGGCAGGGGAAGAAGTGAACAAGTAGAGATTCTGAACAAGGTAGACACTTTGGCAAAGTAAAGATTTAATATGAAGGAGGAAGGGAAGTAATGTCTAAACTTCCACTTGTTTTCAGGTCAGGCAAATTCTAAATTGAGTATAAAATGAGAGGGTTTTGTGTTCTCTGTAAATGGCCAACTGTTTATTTTAAACCATAGTAGTCAGAAGCTCAGACTTGTTTTAAACAAGGTTATGTAACAGTTTTTGCATTTCCGTAGTACAAATAATAATCAATTTTTAAGCTCATTTGCATTCTAGGTAGAAGCATAAAATTATATGCAAATTAACTGACTGAGCATCTGATTTTTAAAAACAAAACAAGCAAGCAAAATCCCAAACAGCACACAAACAAAAAAAAAAACCAATATAAAACTGTGACATCAACAAGAAAAAAAAAAACCTGTAAATACTGGGGGCTTTTGAGAAGCTACTGTTTCAATGAGTTTTCGAGTATATTGGAAAGCATTTGCTAAAACTCTGGGAATTGTGAACAAATAATGCAAAAGAAAGCTGCTTTTTCCTGTTAACATTTTTGGGGGTTTTCTTTGTGATTTCTTTGTCCTTCCCTTACTTCAGCATGGCAAGTATATTTTGGATCAAACTAAATTTATCTGGATGTGGTCAGCAGTCTCTTGCAGTTTGTACATTTGTGTTATGTAAATAAATTCAAATTAAGATTTGTTAATTTAACTTCCAGAAATAAACATACTCATAAAATATTTTATTACCTCATTGTTTGAAACTGTAACCTGTAATTATGAATTCATTAATAAATTGCAGCCATCAGTGCAACTGATCAGGGATAAATATGCCAAAAACCTGCCCACTGTAAACTTACAAATAGTGGGAAATATTTTCTGCTAAGTAGGGAAAAGATCTTTTTAAACTGTTACCATTTTCTTGTCTCCTGTTGGTACTTGCTCTCCAGCTGAAGACTTGTAGGGAGTAACATAACTTGAGTTCCTCAGCAAATGTAAATGCTGAGTAGCTGAGTAAAAGGATGGTTGTGGTTGTGTTTTCTGAAAAGGTAATAGATGCTTCTAGCTCACAGTTTTGTTTGCTTATGTCAGTCAGAGGGAAGATTAAGAAGAGGAAACTGCATCAACTGCAGTTGATTGGTTTAGCTGTGCTTTCTGAAGGCACAGTGTATCCTGGCAAAAAAAGTCACTAAAGGAAGATGGTAAAATAAGAATTTTACAGTTAATTAAGAAACCTTTCTAATGAGTAGAATTAAGAAACAACCAAACAAATAACCCAACACCAAAAAGCTCTCAAGTGCTCACTCACCACACACAGCAGAATTGTCTTTGCATTCCCAGTGGTAACTTTCAGTCTTTGGCTGACAGCCTGCTTGTTCTGCCCTCCCATAGCAGCAGTCGTGGTGGAAGCAGCACCTGAGAGGAACAGGAACAGAGATGGTGATTTATGGTCATACAGTGGGGTGGGGTTTATCAGTGGGTTACTACAGCTGTGGAATAATAAAACAGTTAATATCAGTGAGTGTACAAGCATTACCTGCTCAGGAACCAAACCAGGGTAATTGTTTAATAGATCACCTGGAAAAAAAGACTACTTTTTCATGTAATAAGTGATGAGAAAAATGTCTGATTGAGCTAATTAAATCTTCAGAGCATTCTCAGTTATATGTGAGTATGGTTTTCTCCTAGCCCCTTCCACAAAATGAACTGTTAGTTCATTATCATCAAAAAATATAAAGTTGCTCAAAATTACTGTTTCAAAATTGTTATTGTCATAATTGGCACAAAGAATTTTTAGGCTTTCTATGACATTGTGAAACTGAACAGTACAGATAAGAATTAATGACATTTTAATGCTTAAAAAAGGCATTAAAATATGCTGGTGTAGTGTCTCTGGTGTGGAATCATTGCAAGCCCAGCAAAAGCAAGTAGAGGAGGTAACAAGGACCTGAAGTTAGGTAGCTTGTAAGTTTTTGCTGCAAATCAAGTACATCCTTTCTTTTTGACCTGTTGGAAGAACTGGGTGTATCCACAAAGTATTCATTTATTCATTCCTTCATTCATTCATTCAGTTTGCTCCTGGCAGACTAAAACCATCAGATTACAGTAGGTAGATGGTGTTTAGGTTGCCTGAGGAACTTAGGTCTGCAATAGGAAAAGTTAATGCTGTGAGCTTTCACTTTTCAATTACTGTTTTTCCTGTGCTTATTAAGTAATTACTTGGTCATTTCCTACAAATCATTATGTAAAGATTCTGTGGTACATAACAGTTGACCATCACAGCTCAGTAACTCCATTTCATGCATAGAAATTAAAAAAATCAAACCATGCAACAACAGAACAAAACCCAAAATCATCTTGTCAGTAAATGTTCAATTGTAAGTTACATTGACTGATGATCATCAGTATGCTGTGATTTAGTACTAAATGGAAAGGTTTGGGTTTTAGATTTATTTTTCAGCAGGTTGAATATTGTATAATTCTTATGTATTATTTTGAATACTAATAACATGGAAGATAGTAAAAGCAAAATATTTTTGTTGCCTTTGTTTTTTAATTTTTACTTTAGATAGCTTCAATGACCTTTAAAGCTGCTCCAACAAGGCTTTAGTTATTTAGCTCTGCTGAAACGCAACAGCAAAGGAACTCAGTTATACTGTGAATACTGTGCTAATGCAATGAGAACTTGAATTAAAGGCAAGATTGTGTAGATCTACAGCAACACAATTTGAATGCCTCAGAGTTTCTTAGCAATCTGAGCTGGGTTTAAACTCGCTTCCCTCTCTCAAATAGGCCTAATTTATATTTTAGTCCTTTTATTTGTCATCTGCATTCTGCACTTAATTATTCAGATAAGTAGTTACTCTCACCAGTCTACTCGGTCCTTGGGCCATCCTTTTCCTCCCAGGCCACAGTAGCATCCGTAGCGCAGGTAGGCAAAGGGAGAGCGCCCTGTGGTGCATCTGATGGCTCCGGCCAATTCCAGAATTCCTCTTCGATTTCTCAAACGGGCTTCCCCAAAAGTGCCTTTATAAACTGTGGACAAAAAACTATTATTGAATCCAACATGCAAATATAAAATAGTTGGGATTGTTTGGGTTTTTTAAAGCATTGATAATAAATGACAATACTTGAAATTAATCCAGGTTTATTTTTGACACTTTCGGGCCATGCTGCTTGACCCAGTCCCTTTGTCCCCAGTCCATAGTGAGCAGAATACTGAACCCTGAGAACAGCTGCAGTGGTTTCCTGTGGAGGCAGTGTACAATGGCACACCAGTCATTTCCAGTCTTCCAGCTGGTGAGGGCCAGTGTGTGTCCTGGGGCCCGGGCCCACCCAGTTGCTAAGATTAGCTGCCTCGGGGTTGCAGTGCTTTCTCTTTAACATAACGTGCAATTTTGCCTATATTATTTTGTAGAATGTAGTGCTTTACATTGGAAGAAAAAGGTCCTTTATGACAGGGTTTTGGTTTTCCTAATTTTTAGACAAAGCAGCCAAATTACTAGTGGGGATGGTGTGGTGGATGTAAGGCAGAGAAACGGATGGGTGCTTGGAGTTTTTTCCAGGGAAATTAGAAAGGTGGGGTTTGGTTATTTTCCTGTTTACTTTTGTTTGGGGTTATTGTTGTTGAAGTGATTCTCACTATTATTTCTCCAGAACAAAATTTACTTTAGGAACTATATTTTAACGATCCTGTATCAGTACTAAAGCAAGAGGTCCCAAACAGCAGAAAACTGTTGAGACTGTGGGTGATATTTTTAGGGGTTCATGTCATGCCAAGAGAGTGAACTAACTGGAGACCCTGATGGTAATGGGCAGCCTCTCCTTGCAGTGCAGGCTCCAAGCTATTCACAGCAAATTTTGAGAAGCTGAATGACTACAAAACAAGAAGGCTTCTGATTAGAGTTTCTTATTAATTAAATTAATTACTTATTTTGGTATGAGGAGAATAGTTTATAAACCTAAACTCCAGTACTGGTTACAGATTCCAAAAGGCATTAAGATTTAATAACTCATAATACCTGTGATGGAGACAGCAGAAAAAAAATAGATTTCATTGTTGAAGGTTTTGATGGTTACTTTCCTACAAAGTAGCTATATTGTTATGCAGTTTTTATATAATCTGCATAAGTACATAATCTATTATAATAGCATAATAGAGTAATCTTTTGTAATAGATTATATCATAATAGATTATATGATTCACTATAATCAGTTAATGGAAAATCTGACAGAAAAAATACCAGTCCCAGCACAGTTGAGTAACTTGAAACGTGTGGGATGCTGGTGACCTCTGGCACTTGTAATGTCATGAAACAGTGGGATTTAAACACCTCATGAAATCACCTCAGTAAGAAACTCTATTGGTTTGTGTGTGAGAATGGTAAAAAAAAAAACTACAGGAAGAACCATGAGGCAGCATCATTTTCCTGACTGGTGACCACTCCCAGGTCTTGTCTCTTTAGCTTTTTGGGCATGTGATCTAGAGGCAGAAGTGTTGAAACAAGGGTGTTTAAACTTGCACATACAGCTTTGGCCATTTATAAAAAGCAATCATATCCTGAGGAAAGAAAAACTTCCTTGCCATGTAATCAATTGCAGTTTCATTGCAAAACTGCTGAGTTGTCACTAAACTTCCTTGCTAAGGCAGTGAACAATATCTCTTGTGCATGGCTCCTGTTCCAGAACATCTCCTCTATGTTCAGTGTGAAATTTTGGTTCTGGCTAGCAGAAGCATCCATTTGGTTATAAACAGATTTGTGTTATGATAGCATTGAGAGTACAAGTTCAGTAAATTCTGAGCTAAAACTCTGCAATAAGGCTGCAGCATTACAAGTGACAGCTGGTTATGCTCTTCAAGGTCAGTAATGGTTACTTTTACAGACAGCCAGTAATGTCTGGAGGAACCATGGTTAATGGCAGAGCTGTGATTGCTCTGCATGACCTTGGGGATTCTGAAAAAAGTGAAGAATTTATTCATTGCGTCTCAGTTCCTGGTAACTGGGGAAGGATGGTATAGGAGAGATACATGTCATGAAGAAGAAAATAAGAATTTCCAAATTGTATTCCTGGTTTCATCAGAGAATTGTTTGCTAACTTGGGACAGTTCCCAGTCCCTTGATTTAAATCCATGACAAGTAGAAGTGATGAACTTTCTGATGAACTCTCTGACCTGAGGAGCTCAAGTATAATATGCTGTGTCTTAAAGAAAAGGACATAAACTTTTTGTCCTTGTAATATATTTGTGTTTCAGCATCTGGATATCCAGTTGTAAACCAGCATGTCATAGATACTCTGAATATGATACTCTGTCACAACAGCTTTATGTGTTAACAAAAGCAATAAAATATCATCTGAGAATGCACAGAGCCATGGAAACAATCAGAGTATCAATATGTTGATGATAATCATAGTATATGCTGTTTTGTGGGTTTAAAAAGAGTTTTTAAGCCATTCTTTTAAAGACTGAGGGTACAGAAATGGGATATCTGTATGCAGTCATAGTGCTCCAGTAGTTCAGAACTTGAAACTTGGGAATAAGAGACTTTCTGATGCATTTCCAAGATCTTGCAAAAAATAACTGTATGCCTTATAGAAACCTTACTTTTTGCTTAGATTTTTTTACCTCTTGTTTCCTAAGCCATCAGGAATGGCCTTTTTCACCTCATTTTATTGCCCAGACAACTTACATGCTATCTCCACAAACTCTGGTCACATGTAAATTTTTTGAAAGGTTAAATTTGCCTGTTTTGATACTTTGGACCAGTTGGGAAAGAGGTAAATTGCATTTGCCGTGCTCCTCACTGCCCACGGAGTGGGTGACTGAGGTGCCTGACTCAGAGCTATCAGAGCAGAGCCAGGCTCTCTGTAATGAGCACTCCAAGCTGGCAGAAACAGTGATTTCATTGCTTTCCTTAATGTTCTTCTGAGGTTTGTCCCATGCAAAGGGTGAAGTCTGGAGGATGATAAAAATGCAGAAGGAATCAAAGGGGCAATCTGAGGTCAGGAAGAAGAATTGGGGCAGGGAGCTTGGTGGGCCCTATGTTGGCCTCATTATGCAAGCACCTTACCTTATGGGCTTTAAATCACAGTACTTCCTTCCCCCAGATCCTGCTCCATTCTGTGCCCAGAATCTGTTCTAGGAATTAATTGAGGCTCTTTTCTTTAGGATCCTGCTATTTGCAAGATTTGGTGTGGTGAATTTGCAAACTGTGTAGGAATGCATAAAAAAACCTGCAAGACAATCTTTTACTTAAGGCAGATGCTTGCTATTCTGGAAGATAGGATTTTATCCTTACATCTGTCACAAAGGTTCAGCATGAGGTTAATTTAATCACTTTAAAACAATACCTATTGATGTTTACAAATAGTAGGCCCCAACCTGCTGAATATCCTGGGGTTGGAGTACCAAGCTACCACTCAGTGAGAACCAGGCTTTGAGTAGTTGGAGTTCCACATAATTTTATGTAGTTGTAAGTTAAATTTGGTCCTACCATGTCACCATGGGAACCTAAAATTAGAGGATGCTTTTTTGTGTCAGCCCACATACCTATCTGAAAAAGAGGGATGATACACTTTCAGAGAAATTAGAATAATCAGATACTGTACTGATGAATACCTCAGAAAACCTGTGAGGAAATGGACTGCGAATTGTTACAACCAGTCTTTAACACTGATTAATAAATAGGATGTAGGAGACAAAAAAATAATTAAATATTTGTAAAGTGACTAATTGGCTGTGTGAAGGTGTGAGGCAGGGGTCCTTTAATTACATTCTCACATCATAACTCATTCATGAAGACTGATTCATTTTTTAGAATAGCCCAGTTAGGGTTTGGTAGGCGATCTCAGTCCTAGCAATTCCTGCTTCTGAACTGCTTAGTAACTCAAGTGCTCCGTGACAGCTCACTCCAATACCCAGAGAAGAACGGGGGTAAAGCTACTGGCTTGATAGAAAGATTGTTATTTCACGTGCAAGCTGCTGTTCATTTGAAACACGGAATTTTGTTAGCAGAGTTGAACATAACGGATGAACTTTACAGAAGTAATGTGCGCCCCTCCAGCCCCGCTGCCGTGTGCAGGTGCGGTCTGAGCACCGGCCGGGCTGCCGGGGCAGCTCCAGCCGCCGCTGGCAGCGGCAAATCGGGGGTTCCCGTGGGCGAGTCCCACCCAGCTGTGCCCGAGCGCTGGCCACCTGTAACGGGGGCTGCTCTCCGGCGTGGGAGCACAGGCACCTCCCGTGAGGGTTTCTCCTGACACTCCTTTCTCTACCCCTCTTCCCACCTGCCAAGCCCCGGCCGGCCGGGTCGGGCAAGGGAGCGCGTCCAGCAGAGCCCGCGGAGGCGCCTGTGGGGAAGGACGGCGCGGATGCCGACCCGGCCCGGGGCCCCGCTCTACTCACCGGCCGCCGGCAGCAGCAGCAGCAGCAGCAGCAGCAGCGGGGGCAGCGGCGCCATGGGCAGCGACGGGCGGGGCTGTGGGTCCCGGCAGCGGCGCTGTGCTCGGCAGCGGAGTGTGTAGGTGTGAGCCGCAGCCCGGCGTGCCGGCTATAAAAGGCTGCTTTCTGCCCCGAGCCGGGTCCCCCGGAGCCCGGGTCCAGGCTGTGCTGTCCATCTGGCCAGAAGGGAGGAGCTGCCGCTGGAAGCGCCGGCGAGAGCCGGGACCTGTCAGTCGGGCAGCGGAGCGCGGTGCAGGCACAGGGTCACGCCCCGCAGGTCTGTGATGGGGGTCGCCTCTCCGCTCCTCCACACCTCCCTCCTCCGGCAGCTGTATTTTCTTTTTGAATTACAGCAGTTCCTAGGTAATTTAATCTAGATCTGCAGAGGAAAGCAGGAACTGTGTTGTAAGTTAGACTACTAGTTAATTATAACCAGTGCTGAAGATGTGCTCTATCTGGAGTCTGCATCAGCCAGACTTCATCTACTGATTGCTCCTTTCCTTGGATGACTAAAGGACAACCAACTCCTAAACCAGTTACGGATGTTTGTAGCTTGATAAAAACCTCTGTAATTGTACCTCAAACAAAATAATCTCTCAAAGTGAGTAATTTTTTGTACATTATATATTTGCATATTTTTCCATTCCCTTTCCAACTTTTGTATAATTTTGTAAAACATACAACTAGGCATCTTATTACAACCAGTTTCATTGCTTCTCTCAACACTTCTTTCATGTGATTTTTTCTGTGTTCATACTTTCCAAGTAAGTCTTCAGACCTTTTATTATTGCACTGAAACCAGTGCATTTCCTGTCAGTTGTTCAAGCAATCAGGAGCCCTGAAATTTAGAGTATTGATTTTGTGTGCATGTGTTTTGTCTTGTGGTGTTCATACTTCTCCTTCTTTTCGGCATTATTATATTCCAAGGTATTACCCCCATAAAATCCCATTGAGGCCCACACTGCTAGGATATGGACAGAGAAATAAAATTAATTTTATTTATGGAACTTACAAAAGATTTTTTATTTGTCATGTCATCTTACTATTGGAGAGCAGCTGGTAGTTTGGTGGGGGGTTTTTGTGAATGGTATTTCATCAAAGAAATAAAATTGTTTTTTCATGCACATACTGAAGAATAATTATATATTTGCATTAAAATGCTCTGATTTCTGTGTTATAACATTTGTCTTATTCAGGAGAGGTATAAAGTAATATGTGATGTGATTCCAAGAGACAAAAAGCATGCACAGACAGATCAGATTTGTTTTTGTTATTCTCTCATTAATCCAAGCTCTCTGAAATGTTTGTGTTGGCACTGAAGTGAGGGTAGCATGGGATAAATGTGGAACGTTGATTGGAGGCAGGATATTGATATGCCATTGTACACCTGGTATACAGCTGTCTTTGTGCAACCCTGTGCAGATCACCAGGCAAGGTGTGGCAGCTCAGCCAGGACTGTGCATGGCACTTTGCAAGGCAGAGGGTGCCTGTGGGAGCTCCACACAGCAGAAATAAGCAGGGTTCCCACCGGAGTGCTGGTGTTCTGCAGAGAGGGGAAGGTTGCTGGAGGCTTCCTGTGAAGCTGTGCTGCTGCAGATCTGTTCCGACAGCCGCAGGAGCGCTGTGCTGGGACAGTGCTGCCAGCCCTCCTTCTCCTTCCAGCCCTGCGCCTGGCTCTGGCCAGCACGGGGAGCACAGCTGCCGCTGCGTGTCCCAACTTAGCTGGAGGGGAACACGAGTGAAGGAGCTTGTGTGGCAACCAGAAAGGCTGCTCGTGATCCTTATAAGTGTTGGTAGAAAACCCATCTATTGGGGATTTTTTAAACCATTTTTTAAAGATTTCGTTGCTATTGCCATCAACTGGGTCAGGACAATTTTCCTATTACTCATGGAGTCACATCGCTAATTACTGTTACTCTGGTCTCGTACTGTCACTTATACTTCATTTGTTTACTGACTCTTCCGGTCAATAAGTCACACCTATTAGAACACTTTAATGGTGTCTGAGAGCTGCTTAATGAAACTTCCAGTTGAACACTATCCCATTCAGCATGCCATTGCATATGACAATGAAAACAGTATCCAAGGGAGCAAGATGAATTACATTTCATGTTGTTCTTCAGGACACTGACTGATGCAATGTGTTAGTGCAGCTGATGAGTTTTTCTCTGAAGAAAGTTACCTTATAACCACTGAAAAATCAAATGAGACTGAAATGCTCAGACTACAGCTGCTTCTGTGAGAAAGTACACAGAGATATGTAGGGACAGAAACTGTATATAGTGATGAAGTGTGTCACTGCCATAACAGATAGTTGTGTGCTGGAAAGGTTGCTATTACAGAAATGTTCTTGAAACTGCTGTGTCTGCAGAGGAGCTGAATTATTTCTACAGTTTTCTTCTCTCCTCCTCCTAGTTTTGTTTTCTCCTGATCCCCATTTTCTCCTCTGCTCCTTTAGTACAACAGCTACTAACAAAGAGTCCATTCTGTCCATACAACCACCCAGGCAAGTAATGAGATTGCAAGAACACCTCAGAGCACCATGTATTTACCAATGCAGTTCTGTCCATTTTTATGGCATGGAAATACATTGCCTGTCTTTGAGCAAAGGCACACACTGGAGATGCTGGGGAAAGATTATAAATAACTTTCAGCTTGTTTAGCTCTTAGGTTCTGACAGTCATCTCTGCCTTCCAGAAGATTTGCATTCTCTAAGTCAAGTTCTACATTTGACATTTGCATCCAAAAAAAAGACTCATGACCTGCTTCTTGTGGAACCCAGAGCTACTTCTAATTTTTATGTATTGAGGAAAAAAGACTTGGTAATGCAATGTGTGCATGTTTCTAAAACAAAATTTGAAGTCTCCAGCATATCTCTAGAAGGATATTTGACTTGCTTTCTTTATATAGGTTACATCAACTTGTATTCTTGAAATGGCTGATGTAATGACCAGGATGATGGGATAGAATGACCTCTCAGCACATTTGTGGGTGATACCAAACTGGGGGGACTGGCTGATACACTGGAAGGCAGGGCTGCTACTCAGATAGACCTAGTCAGACTGGAAAAATGAGCTCTTGGGGACCTCATGAAGTTCAGCCAAGGCACATGCAAAGTCCTGAAAATGGCTTGGCATAACCCCCCAAGTGGGACAGGCTGGGGACATCTGGATAGAGAACAGCTTTGTAGAAAAGGAGCTGAGGGTTGTGATGGACAGGCTGAATGTGAGTCAGCTGTGTGCTTTTGAAGCTAATGTGCCCAGTTGCAAACTGGGCTGAGTACCACTGGTAGGTTTGGAGGGAACTTCCCCTCCATCTGACACTTGTGACACCACATCTGGAGCTCTGTGTCTCATTTTAAGAAAGCCATTGACACACTAAAGTAAGGGTACCAAACTGCTCAGGCACCTGCAGTTCACAACATACAAGAAGATGAGGGAGCTGGATTTGCCCATGTTTAAAGAAGATGGTGAGTGGAGATCATTGTGCTGTGAAACACTCCATAATCATGCTCTTCTAGCATTTCATGTAGAAGAAATGCAGCCACATTTTTCCCAGAAGTGCTCAAGAAGCAATGACCACAATCTATAGCAATTCAATATAGGAAACTAATTTTTTTTTAAGGATCAAATACTGAAACAATTTTCCCTGAAAGGCTATGGCAACTCCATCCTTCGAGATATACATAACTCAATTCAACATAACTAAAAGCAATCTGTTTTAATAGAACCTGCCATGAGGAGAAAGTTGGACTACAAAACTTGTAGAAGTCCCTTGCCTCCTACACAATTCTTATATTGTGATGTAATAGCAGATATCTTCAAATTAGCAGTTCCACCCTGCCAGGAAAGGAGACTCCAATATCACTCCCTTTTGCCTAAAGGTTTTTATGAAACAATGGCCTGTAGGCAGGGAAGGCTGTAGGTCTGTTCTGCAATAACCAATTAATTGCTAATAATTTTTTCCCATATATCATCAAGTAAAAGATGCAAATGTAGTGGGGAAATCATCTGTGCTGAATTCAAAGAGACTTGAGATTTTGCCTGCTTTTATTATCTAGACAGCTTTGTCACAAACAGAAGCAGTGCCCTTTTCATACTTTCCTACCATTTTAACTCACTGTTATGAAATCCCATTTCTACGCCTTTTTCTCTGTTGACCATTTCTGAATTTTCTTCCAGTTCTATTTTTAGTGAGAATAGGGGGAGAGGGGGTGGGGGGGCTGCAGAATTGAATGCAGTATCCAGGGTGGAGACAGAACATGGATTTATAGAGACTGCAGACTACTCATTTAAGAGAGAAAAAACAGGAATTCACACTTCTGTGTAACTTTTGTGGCTTTTTCATTGTCTCTAAATGTTTTAAACTGCTTGAAAATAAAATTAAGATATTTTTGTTACCAGTTTATTTGTTCACTTCTTAGTTGCTTTGTTCTTCACCCTGCCAACAGTGAACACCCTATTGGTCTGGTCTGCTTGTCTTGCAGCTTTCTTTCAGCAGCATCTGTGCAGTTTTATAGCAACTGAACCCAACAGGATAAAATCCCTAAATAATTTGTCCATCAAAGGAAAGGTGAGTAGAATGTAGCCCTTGATTGTTCCAGGCTAATCTGCACCAGAGCCCTCTGTCTTTAAACACGATCCAGACTGCTTTGGGAACTGGGAAGTTACTGAATATCTTGCTGAGGGTCAAAAAATCCCTGAAAGTACTGAGGTGTAAGGAACACAGGGATTAGCTAGAGAATTTAGGAGTAGGGAAAACGTGAGTATAGGAAAACTTGTATCTTTAAGACATGTAAGATCAAAAAGGTGCTGAATTCTGCTGAAGAACTGAGTATGTGTCACTTGTGAAGTAGATTCTGAAACTCTCATCTCCAGGTCTCTGTGGGATGGAGTTCTACTTTTATTCTTTGCTTTTGCAGAGTGGTTGGGATAAGGAGTAATTGAACCACAAAACTGTCAGCACTAACATAATGATTTGATATACCTGAAATAAGCCAGATACTTCAAATCAGCCACAAGATGCAAGAGTCATTTGCTGAGAGCATGCACAGGGTGCCAGTGCACAACAGGAAGGCTGATGTTCAATAAAATGTTTAGGCACCAGGAGCTGCTTGATTTTCAGTGAGAAGTGGGGGACTCAGTAGAAGGTCAGAATTTAAATGCATTCTCAAATCTGGGCCAACATGACAAACATATTATGTTTTCTATGTAGACCTATTTTCCACTGCATTGGAAGGCAACAAATGCTATGGGAACTATACAATATAAATAAATTAGAACTGTTTCTATAACCTATAATTATAAAGAGTTAAGCTTATGCTTCTTTGGAGTAACAATTACTGTCTTAAGAATACATTTTCCTAAAACTAAGAAAGAT